GGGTCGAGGAACAAAATTAGTATCAAAACGGCGTCGACAAGTGGCGGCCGTGTGATTCAAGATGCCGCAAAGCTGACACGTCTCACCCGGAGCTGCAGGGGTGTATCCAAGCCGACCACCACCACGACCAGAAACCTGATTGCGCCGGCCGCCGCATTGCGAGCGACCGGCACGAGAGGATTGAGGCGGCATAGGAGAAGGTGGCGACTGCACAAGCATGGCCGTTGGTTGAAGGACCGGCTGTTAGGCGTGAAGAAGCACCTCATACGAAACTAACTGTCCAAGGAGATCTTGATAGGAGGGGGGTTCGGATCGCTGTTGCAGAGCTCCGATGATGCCATTGAATTCGGCACCAAGCTTGCGGAAGATTATGGCATTAAACTCTGCAGGGGATATGCGATGGTCGGCAAGCTGCAGTGTATCGGCGATGCCCTTCGCTTTGGAGAGGAGAGCCGTGACCAACAAGTCACCTTTTTGCAAGCTGTGGAGCTCCATAACAAGCTGGGTCTGTTGAGCATAAGAAAGAGTGCCGAAACCCTGCTGAAGAGCTGTCCATGCAGCCGCCGACGTTGTGCAACCCTGGAGAACGGGAAAAATATCTTCAGCAACGGAAGAAAGAATCCAAGAGAGGACCAGCTGATCCTTTTGCTGCCAGATATCAAACTCAGGATTGAGTTGGGGTGCGGCACCACTGACGGAAGGAAGAAAACGTGGCGGTGCAAGGTCAGTGCCGTCGACAATACCGGCAACACGAAACATAGTCAATAAAGGAGTAAACTGAAGACGCCAAGACGAATAGTTGGCTCGAGATTGCAGCTTCACAGTAAAAGAATGATTGAGAGATTGCAAACTAGGTTGAAGAAGTGAAGAAGGTGCCGCCGGCCGAAGATGGGTAGCCTGGTCAGTGGATGAAAGGTCGGTGATAGTCATCGTTGAAGAGAAGCAAGCAAGACGAAATACGGCCCAAGTGGTTTTTTTTTTTTTTTTTGGTTTTGTTTTTGTTTTTTTTTTTTTGTTTTTTTTTTTGTTTTATTATAGAAGAACCAGCAAGCACCGAGAACAAACGAGCAGCAGGCGGCGGCAGGGAGGTAGAAAGCGACGCCGTCAGCAGCAGCTGTGGAAGACAGAGGAAGAAGCACCGACGACGCCGACGACAGGTCTGAAAGCGAAGCACTGGACTGAAACGACGACGACGACCGGTCTGAACGAAGAGCAGCAGCAGCAGACGACGACGACGACGAAGACGGCAGAAACGACGACGACGACGACAGATGACAGAAAGCAACGACGACGACGAAGACGGCAGAAAAAAAAAAAAGAGGAGAAGAATCAACGACGGCAGAGAGACCGGCAGCAGCAGGAGGAAGCGACAACGAACACACACCGGCGAAGAGCCTGTGTGGGGCGGCGAAGAGCAGAAGCAATAGACCGACTACGGCGGAGGGGGTGTGCACAGCCGAAGAAAAAGGATTCGGCGGCGGGGGAGAGAAACGAGAGAGGGGAGAAAAAAATAGGTTTCGCTAAACCTAGCTCGATACCAACTTAGAATAGGGAAATTGTATTTGATTCATAATGTATTGTGCACAATATACAGAGTATATATAGACAATAACAAACCCTAATCTAGGACATAATAGGAAATATACTAAATATTACAATAGTAATAATTGCGGTGTTCTATTGATCAGAAGCTTATTCTCACTTATGGTCCTCGAGTTTGAACATGTGCGTGGAAAACAAGGCTTTTTCAAATGAGAATATGGACAGATTCGGAGGAAACTTGAGGAGACAATCAACCATGTGAATGCATGTTTGCTCAATTCAACTCTTCAAGTGAATTCAACATGCCCGCATTTTGACAAGAAGACTTAATGTAACCTTCCACAGCTGCATCTTCTGTGAATTCCTGCTTCAAGTATATCATTGCTGTTGGTGTTGCTAACTTTCTGGGTCGAGATGGAGTGAGAGAACACTAAACTTCAAGTTGACCTCACTATCAAGCTAACTATTGTCAAAATCTAGGAACATTCTGTTGGCATTTTGATGGGGAGAATGATATCATTCTGCAAGTATGACTTCTCTAAATCCAGATTTGAGGCACAGGTTCATCGCCATTTCTCTTTCTGGATTGACTTGAAGGGACAAGCGCTGGATATTTCTGCTTCTACATTTCTGTGTCACAGTCTTCGTAATGCTCCACCAAGGTCTATTCTTCTGTAATTGGTCTTGCCTAATTATGTTCCAAAGAAGAAACCGTAGAAGACAACATAACTAAGGACTCAAAATCAATTGCTTAGGTGTCGGGTACTCAGGTAAGTTTGAGGCTGCAAAGAACAAAAAGCAGCCATTCTGTCTCAGAGAAAGCTTTAATTTTTATAACAAGAAATACTTTTTTTACTGAAGAGAAAGATCCAACAAAAATGCATTTCACAATCCACACTATCAAAGTTCCTGTCAAAGAAGAAACAAGCTAAGAAGAGCCTGAAATTTATTACTTCAACAAAAATACCCCATCCAACAGAAAATTCAGTAGGTTAAAAGTTCAGACGAAAGTCATGTAGTTCACTTATTCCAGCTTCACTATGTTTTACACCAAATGAAAGCTACGCACCATAAATTCGGCATCTTCAGTCATTTTTTCAGCCTTTACATACATCATCTCTACAGGTCTACTAAGCAAAAATTGCATTTCAAAAAGATTACCCCAATTCTGGAGACTGAACTTTAGATTTGAAGTTTTGATCAATAAAATTAAGCACTGCATCTTAGGTGCTTATTTCTCTACCACCCATTAAACTGTCATCAAGTTATCTCCTGTTCAATGAGTGACTATCACCTAGTTGAAGGTGCATCAGATGTCCATATTTCTTCGCCAAATCTGCAACGGTGTGGGAGGCAAAGAGCCTATAAGCCGATGAAGGTTTCCTAGGAGGCCCCGGAGGCAACTTTCCAAGGCTTAGATTTCATGAAAACTAGGATAACATTAAAAAAAATAGGAGAAACGTGGAAAGAAAAGATGAGCTCCTCAAAACCAAATAAATAAATAAATGATGAGCTCCACGAGAACTTGAGGGTGATGCACGTGCACAATAAATTTTCACTCGCTCATGCGACTCGTAAATCATTTATAATGTCGTGTAACTCATGTCTACCCAAACTTCATTGACCGTACAGATGAGAGTGGACAAACATAAATAAATACCCTTCTCCCAAATGCTCATCTTCCTCCATTCATAAGAAAATTATGTATTCTTAAGTCGCATCTTCTTCCCTTTAATGTAGGTTATGCCGTTCAGTTCGCGAAGACAAAATGTTTCATGCACTAAGCACTGACATTCTCAACTTTTTGCTTAACAGATTAAAGAACTAACTGAGTATGCTTCAAATACTGAGCACTGGCATTTTCAACTTTTTGCTTAATGAGCAGAGTTCTAGACCGCAGATCACCAGTGGACAACATTCGCAGCTTAAATGGTTGTTATTTTAGGGAAAGATGGATATATAGTAAATCAATGGCTCACAGGAACCATGTTGCTAATATACTGCGTACTACAGTTCTTGAGAATTCAACGAGACATTTCCATCTTTACCAGGTGCAGATTTTCATTAATAACATTCAGTCAGTAAATTCTCTTTCTCTGTTCACTTCATACACACTCTTTTCCTTGTACTACAGCATCCAATATTTTGAGCTAATAATGGGGCTTTTCTCCCACTCTTACTCAAGAGGAAACTCTTTCTACTGCTTCAGTTAATTCCTTTTGTCCATTGTTACCAAATATCTTACAGAGTAGGAGGCTTTCTCAAGCATAAAAGTCATGCAAAAAGTTGTCTGACACCAGAAATTTTGATTACTCCCAATGAAATGGAGTAATTTGGTTTAACGGAAAAGCTTACTCTGTTCTAAGGAAATCCTGAATAATGGTGCAAATTTCAAACAAATAATAGCGTATTCATCATTCAGTTTAACAAGACTCAAAGGAGGAACGATCGAAAAAATAACTAATATCAAAATATTCGGCAAGCTCCCACCTATGCAGATAATGAATGGGGCCATTGTCTGGAAAAGGAAAAACTATTCACAACACTTAAAGTACCAATAAAGTGAAAAGAAGAGACAGTTCACTCACCCAAATTCTGGTTCAAAACGCATATAAGTTGTCTGCTTCTTGGCCCCTGGTGCATTGTGTATGCAAAACCTTACTCTGCCCTCCATTTTTCATCCTTGATGCATTGCTCAAAAGATTGTTATGATAATTATAATGACACAGGCAGCAACAATGAATGAGTAAAAATTAGGATTGAGCTGAATGCAGATACTAAAATTTCAATCCAGCTACATCAACGGAGCCATCATTCATCTACTACTCCAATACATGTTCAACATAATCAGCTAGTGAGGAGATGACGGCATCTCCATTACAATCCGATTCTATGAATTCCACTTTCCTGGAGGAACGAAATTAATCCAACATTTGGGTTCAAACATACAAGTCTTTTTCTTAGTCGTTTTTTCCCTTCTGCCCCCCAATATTTTGATAAATTCAGAGAACAGCCTAGGCCAAGTGAATCCTACAAAGAAAATAATAGGTCTCTACCAGGTGGCTAACACCATTTACATAGGAATCACTGTAACTTTCATACTTAGACTTGTCCAGAAGAATGGCACTGTTCCATTGATTCATTGATGGCCTGACATAATCACCAGGCAGCTCTCCTCAACAATGATATCCATCTTTCCATTTTGGAAATTTTATCCACCAATTTCATCACAATACTTTGCGAAAATATGAAAGTCAATGGTTGGCCAAAAAACCAGGGATATGGTTCTAAAAAGATGGTTAAATTATGCATAAAATAGCAACAAGTAGCTCTATACACAAAAAAGGAGGATTCAGTCATTAATTAATACATAAACCTTAAAAGAAGTCTAAAAAGACTCATAATATCACTAGCTCAAAACAACTCATGGTAGCAGAATACTGTAAACCATCGAGTAGTCAGGAAACGAGGCCTTGGAGGGTGCTCATCTCACTGACGGGGTGCACTTCAATGTTACTCCATTCTCTTTCCAGGATTGAGGGGGTGCACTTCAATGTTACTCCATTCTCTTTCCAGGATTGACGCCGATATTCGAGATACGTGTGACTAGTGACAGGGTACCTGTGATACCGCACACAGCAAGCAAGTTTGCAGGGTGCATCTTTCTTCCCATTCCACTCTGATAGGGTCAAATCTTTCCTAGCGCAAAAGAACGGCCCCGTCTTTTTGGCCTGACAATGAAGATCATACACGGCATACTGACCCAAAAAGGTTTTTTGGTTGCTGGAATCATCCACTCGAGAAGCTGAGAAGGTAACATAATACACGGAAGAGATTTGTTGACGGGAAAAAGCAACGTTCTCAACCACCCAATCGTAATTGTATTCCTGCAGACATACATCAGAACCTTCATTACAACAACAACAACAACAAAAAAAAGGAAAGAGGAAGCGAAAAATATAAAGGGCTCTACAACTGAATGGATAATGAGGAAACGAACTCCAGGAGGGAGCGTTACTGGCAATAAAAAAAAATCAACATAAGAAAGAGTATACAGATAAAGGTACCTCATCCTCATGTTTTGTGTTGTAGAAGTGAATACAATCCTGGCACATCTGATGGAACTTAGTTTTGGTGTCTCCGAATTCATTTTTAAATTGACAAGGTCTGATGGTTGCTTTGGGGGAATTATCAGGACACCAGGTGATGTCAAAGCCCTGGCCGTCGTGCATAATCTGGTAGTACTTACTCCATCGATTCAAATCAAACTCCCGCACGACCTTATAATTAGGCACATTAGATGATGGCCGTTTAAAGCTGCAGCCCTTCTCCTTATTTCCTGATTCGTCACGCTGCTGCTTCCGCGTCTCCGCCAAACGCGACAGAGCGGCTGATAGCATCGCGGCTTCAAGCTCAGCCGCCGCTTCCTCTGCAGCTTTTTCCCTGGCCGCCGCTACCTTGGCCGCCGCCGCTTCCACCACAGCGGCGGCTTTTCTGTACGATTCGAAAATTCGAAAATTGGTCTCTTCCTCTTTTAACGGCGGTGTTGAAGTTAATAAAACCTGTCTTCTCTTCTTTGCCGGTCGGTGGTTGCCTTCTTCTTCGCCGTCGGATTCGCCCATGCTTCGGTCGGAACAGACCTCGATCGGGGTAGGGACTTGTAGGTAGGTCACGAACGGATACTGTATTTTACCCCCAAAAAAGTGCGCATGGCTTCTCCATCTGAATAACTTGTAGGTCTGGACCTCAGCTTGAGCCGTAATTGACGACTCAAGCTCCGGCCTTCCCTTCCCTTCCGGAACTACCTTCGACGATTCTCCTGAATTTGGCATTACGAAGTTGAATTGAAATCAAATGGCCTATAAGGAGTGACGTCTGTTTATTTATATACTCCACTAAAGACCCCCCCTCTCACCCGGTCCATTGTAATACCTTACCCAATTTTATTTTCTTTAATATGTTTGGGCCAAGCCCAACATTTTTAAAAAATAAAGAACTTGGTGAAAATAGGGTGCAGTAATCTACACTAGTTCTGTCACGTACGGGACAAATTCAGCAAGAAGAAGAAGATTAGAGGGAGAATTTGAGATTAGAAATCAAAAACAAGGAGGATTAGGGTTTGAAGAAAGGGAAATACAGAGAGAATCGGAGAAGAAGAAGTATCCAATTTTGGAAAAATGTTTATTCTCATCCCGTTTACAACTTTGACCCCAAACTATATAGTCCGACTCACTTATTACATTTTACGCAAAAATTACTATACAATCAATCATCTAGAAAGAGACCCCCAGATCATGACAATTCCCTCTCCTTATAAACAGTCTTGCCCACAAGACTGTTACTACAAAAACTTATTGTAAGTGCCTAATAGTAACTATTACAATTACTGAAATGAACTAAACAACAGCACAAAGTGTAATAAAAAAAAAAAGTAAAGCAACCACAGTATAAGTGCAAACTTGACAGGTGAGTTGACCATGATTAATAAGCAACAAGCTGATACGACACCACAATGTTTGTCATCATGCTAAGTGTCATATTGGCTCTCAGTGTTTCCTGTGATCATCCAAGGTCAGATCATTTATATCTACTGCTTCACCATCTATAGTCCATAAGATGCTGCTTGATTCTTCCTCTTTGTCAGCATCCAAACAGCAAATAATGTTGAACTCCCTCATCTTACAGTTTTGATGATGACCTGGTTTGTAGAGTTCTCCACATCCGTAACACAAACCATGGTTGGTCCTATATTGCATCTCCTGCGGCAATTTCTTCACATATCGATTTCCGGAACCCTTGTGACCATTAAACTTGATACCACCATTCCCAGAGCCATATCCATTAGGGTTACTATTTTCTTTACCCAACTGATTCCCAGAGCCAGACTTTTGATCCACATTTCTAGTTTTTACATTATTTCCCTGATTAGAGCTCACACTACCAGCATACTGCATCTCATATTTCCGATTACCCTTGTCCCCAGAACTAACAGGGTGTACAACATTTCCAGTCTGACCAGCTATTGCTTGACCAGCATCAATCCCAAACCCATCGTACAAATTAGCCAAGTTCTGCTCTTGATATAGAGCAATTTCAAATGCATCAAACAAAGTCTTAGGCTTCCACATTCTAACTGTAGGCTGAATTTCATTCTTTAAACCGCTATGTAATATAGTATTCAATGAAATTTCTCAAATTCTGAATGAAAGAAAAACATTGAACTTCTGAACAGTAGCATCATTCTTCAACTTAACGTTGCCATCACCAAGGCAATTTCGTCGGTGGAGCTGCTAAAAAATCAAGTTCCAGATCTTCATCAAACCACGCATGTGTTCTCCTTTGGCATCCAGAGCGTAGTTCCTGCCATTTCTATACGCTCTGCTGATTTACTTCATCAAGTCGATCTCTATTCGAATCTGCCCCGCTCACCCAGTAAATCAAAGTGGGTTTCGCGGAAGGTTGTCAAACACCATGACGATAATCCAGTGAGTGCGAATCTTTCCTCAGAATTTGATAAAAGGAGATTCAGTCGGACTCGCAAACCGTCGCTCCGGTGGTGAAGGAAGGTGGTGCCATTGACCTCGTGATGGATATAGCTGCCACGGTGGCTGCCTGTGATGTGGGCGTCAACAACGATGCAAGTCCTGATGTTTTTGGGCCTTCAATTCCTGCTGGACCCGGCATGACACTCACGGTCCATTTCGTGTTAGGCTCCATTTGTGCTCCGCTCACAATTATTAGTCATCACCCAATTCGTTTAAATCCTAAAGGCCACCACAGGAAGCGAGCACCCGACACTGGACCTAACCTGGGTCTTCGGGTGGGTTTTGTAAGTTAATTTCCACAAAACGGCGCCTCTTTGCTCGTATTATGCCGCGGCGAAAATTCTTCAGAAATTCAAGTGGGGAGCGGGCAATCTTCAATGTTACACAGGCAAGTATGCTTACTCAGATAAGACATGAGAACTCCTATCTTCCAATGAAACGATATCTTGATCGCTACTCGGCCTTGATGCCAATTCGTAAACGGGCTCGAGCCTCCACCCCTAATTCGTGGAAATCGGATGTTGAACCGATTGGGATTAGGTCAGCCATCGAAAGCTCAATGAGGCTATTATCATGGAACTGTAGGGGACTAGGTCAGCCGTCTACAGTTCGTATGCTAAATCGGCTGATGACTGCATACCATCCTCAGGTACTCTTCTTAATGGAAACCAAATCTTCTGTTAATTCTGTGCATAAATAGATGCTATCAAGTGATTTTGTCAATTTGGAAGTTATCCACCCAATTGGTTCTGCGGGTGGTTTAGCTATTCTCTGGTCTTCTCATGTAAATATGCAGTTGATAGTGAAATGCTCTAAGGTTGTGGAGTGTAATATGTTTGAATGGCTAGTTATTTTTGTATATGGTTCTCCCTGTCCTAATGAGAGGCCTACTGTCTGGCAACAGCTCTCTGAAGTGATTCAACCTTTAGATTATCATGTTTTGTTTGTGGGTGATTTCAATCGAGTTTTGTCACCTAAGGATAAGCTGGGGGGCCAACCCTTTGATGCCTCTCAGGCTCAGCCCCTTTTACATCTTACTGAATCTCTTGGAGTTAGTGAGTTGCATCAAAGAGGGGTATGGTATACATGGACTAACAATCGCAGTGACAATAACCAGATATACGAACGATTAGATCGTGCTCTTACGAGTTGCACATGGCTTCAGGCTTTCCCACATGCCCTTTTGCGTAATCTTCCTATAATGCGTTCCGATCATGGTCCTTTACTAGTGGACACTAGGTTTCATGCGCGTGCAACAGCTCCCCGCCCGTGCTTCGAAGCTTTTGGTTAAACATTCTGCTGCTCGTCAGATTATTGATCACTCCTGGCCTACTGCGGCTTCTTCTCACAATGCAGTTGAGACTATGTCTACAGTTTCACAGAAACTATTAGCACTTTGAATAACCTTCTACAGTGGCACAAATCTTCTTTTAGATCTTTGGAACGTCGAATCTACATCCTTCAGTCGAGTTTGGAGTATGCCCAGTGACAGTTACCAGCACAAGTCTCTTCTGAGTCTGTTTTGAGAGTGCAATTAGACCGCCTTTTAGATTCTCAAGAAGATTATTGAAGACAGAGAGCTCATCTCATGTGGAATGCCTCTGGAGACAGAAACACTCGGTTTTTTCATCACTGGGCTACTCGGCGTTAGGGGCGAAATTGGGTTACGGAATTACAAATATCACCTGGTATATGGGAGGCACGTCCCAAAGGCATACATCAGCATCTTACACAGTATTTCAAGGCTGTTTATACAGATCCTGGGAGTTATCCTCCAGATGTGGGCCTGCGTTATTGTCCGACCTTGGCTGATCTTCTTCACAATATTCCCTGCTTGGATCCAGGTCAACAAGAACATCTGCTCCAACCCATTCTTGAAGATGAAGTGCGCCAAGCTTTGTGGGAGATGAAGCCATGGAGTGCCTCTGGTCCTGATGGAATGCCTGCAGGGTTTTTTCAGCATTACTGGTCCACAGTGACAGACTCTCTTGTATCTGCAGTGCTCAATTTTTTCACCAATCCAATCATGGACCCGAGCTGGAATCGCACCAATCTTGTACTCATTCCTAAGGTTCGAGTTCCTTCTCAAGCATTTGATTTTCGGCCTATTAGTCTTTGCAATGTCACCTATAAAATTATTGCTAAGGTTCTTGCCACAAGACTCCGTTTGGTCATGCCATCACTCATCACCTATCAACAGTCTGGTTTCCTCTCGGCTAGATCTATAAATGAGAATATTCTCATAGCCCACGAGCTCCTAGAGTACATTCGAAAATGCATGAAACCACGTTCGGGAGCAGCAGCCATTAAATTAAATATGAGTAAGGCTTATGATCAAGTCTCTTGGGATTTCCTACGCCAAGCACTACAGCAAATGCAATTCCCACCTATTTGGATTCGGTATGTTATGCAATGTATAGAAACGGTGTCTTACGCTGTCTGTTGCAACGGCCTTCAATCTGAGCCTTTTATTCTGCAATGTGGACTACGTCAAGGTTGTCCCAGCTCTCCCTTTTTATTTATTTTAGCTCAACAAGCGTTTTCATCAGCTTTGCAGCGACTGGAGTGTATGGGTGTTGGCATGGGCGTTCGCGTTGCTAAACGTGGTACAGTAGTCTCCCACTTAATGTATGCAGACGATTGCATCTTATTTGCAAGGTGGGCTCTTCAACATTTGAAGCCGTCGCAGCTGTTATTGATGGTTATGCTCATTACTCTAGGCAAAGGGTTAATTTTTCCAAGTCTTCCATTGCTTTTAGTCCTTATGTGTGTCATTCTCTTCGATTGCTTTTGCAACTTACCTTACACATTGAGCAGGACTTTCGCGGTAGCAAATACTTGGGCATCTCTCTTGACTTTGTTCAGTGGAAATCCATCCTTTTTGCTGACATCAAGAGGAAGGTACAGAGTCGGCTACACCAATGGAAGAATGAATCACTTTCCATGATGGGTCGAGTCACTCTTGCAAAGCATGTGAATTCCTCATTACCTCAATATGTTATGGGTGTTTTTCTCTAGATTCTTCATATCTAAATATTGTCCTCGACAAGATTTCTTACAAGTTACACCTCCTCGCCAAGCTTCTTGGGGTTGGAGGAGCATCTTGTGGGGTAAAAGTCTTTTGAAGGGTGGTCTAAGATGGCAACTAGGGGATGGCTCTCACACCCCGATTTTGGCTAACTGGATTCCAGGCATTTTTAATCCCCTAGCGTATTCGAGTTTAAGTCCAGCTCACTCTTCCCTCAAGGTATGTGATCTCATTGATCCCACAAGCAATGGCGTCTGCCACTCTTAGAGGTATTGTTCCCTCACCATATTGCCTCCCACATAAGCTCTATATATATTCCTCGTTCCACCGTGGCTTCTAAGGATGCACTTATTTGGATTCATGAGTATTCTGGAGTTTATTCGGCCCGTTCAGGATACCACCTTGCTTGCAGACTCAATGAAAGTCGCGTTTGCATGTCTACTTCTAGAGGCCAGCCTGGGGTTTCTAAGGACATTTGGAAGTAGTTATGGGCTGTTGAGGTGCCAGAGAGAATCAAGTTCTTTTTATGGCGTTGTCTTTCTGTAGCTTGTCCTATTGTGCAGGCTTTATTTCACAGGAATCTATGTGTTGCTCCTGTTTGTGTGCATTGTGGGGTGCACCAAGAATCGATTTTTCATATGCTTCTTGATTGTTATCGTCCTCATCTGATTTGGAAGGCCTCTATCTTTGGTTTCGATTTCAGTCTGGACAATCCATCTAATTTCAATGATTGGTTCCTTCAATGGACTACTGTGGCCCCTGATGATGGAACATGGACTCACTCCTTGTTTTTGCTTTGCCACCTTTGGCTGGATCACAACAGACATGTTTGACAACACGGAACAGAGCCCCCACCTAGCTGGGTAGTTCAACAAGCTGCTCTGGGCTACCTATGGTTGTGGGAATGTCACATCTCCTACACTCCCCTTACCTTCATGTTGCACTCTGCCTCCTTTTGATGTGAGACTGGTTGTGGATGGTGCGTACCAAGAGGCTACAGGCTTGTCTAGCGGAGGTTGGCTTTTATATCGGCCTGATGGTACTGTTTTGTTAGGAAAGCAGTCTTTCTGCGCTTTCTCTGCATTACAAGTAGAGGCACGCACCTGCTTGTTAGCCCTTGACTTTGTCCGAGGCTGTGGTTATGATAATGTCCTCCTTCAGTCGGATTGTCAGGTCTTGACCAAGGCCCTTGGTGGTACTGGGATTATCCCAATTGAAATCCTTTCGATGGTCACCGATAATAGGATTTGTATGTTGCAGATTGGGTGTGTTAATGTAGAATTTGTTGGTAGACTACAAGTTTCAGAGGCTCATACTCTTGCTAGAAGAGCTACCTCTACTGTAAGTTTGTAATGTTTGTGGTTTAATAGAATGCACATTGTGCTGGTTTTCAAAAAAAAAAAAAAGTTACACAAGGGCTGAGGATTCTCAGGTTGTGACTTCCGATTAAGATTACTCCAAGGGGAAGATGGGTGCGTCAACGAAAAGGAGGAAGTTGGCGACTGAATTGCAAGGAAGAATGATGAGATGGAAGGATCTAGTACTGACATTTGAAAGAACGGAGAAAACTTATCTCTATTTTTGAATCAGTTCCCCTCTTTTTTTTTCTCATCTCAAATATCGCTGCAAAGGGTCATGATTGGACTCTGATTATGTAAACAAGTTGAGCAAGTCATTCATGCGAATTAATTTGACATTTAAAAAAAGTACAGCCTCTTTCCTTACAAAAAGTTTTTCATTGTAAATTATTTATAATAATTTATAATAATTTATAATGTGAATCATTTTATCAGACAGAATTAAAAGACAGAACAGTGCCAAAACTTAAGAAGAAACAAACTTCATGATAATATTAACTCAACACACCTCATATGGGTAAAGAATGCAAACAAGTAATACTGCATAAAGAACACAAACAAGATTTATACTTTATACTCCCTCAACATCCACAAAGTTGTACACTTTACTAACTACAAATTTATACACCTTCAAACAAAGGAGTACAAAGGAATCAACTTTATTAACGAGGTATACTAGAATATATTTGAAATGTTTGTCTACTTCACTGTATCACTAGATCAGTACCGGACATTCATTCAGCTCAGGCTCCACAAAGGAAGTAGGTAAAGAGTAAGGGCATACTGCACCATTTTCACAGGATTGAACAGGATTGAAAACTTGTTATACCAAAACACAAAACATCCCGACAGCTGAATGAAAATAAACAACATAAATGGCTGGTATGATACGTATGCCAACACCCACATGTTTGATAAGACTTTATCTTGAAACTTCAACAAACTTACTGCACGTTTTCCTTTCCCTGAGACTTTTCTTCTAAGGTAAGAAATGATCCATTTTCTTTTCACTTAGTACCAAGGAGAGGTTGTGACGACATGCCTATTTTACACCTGAAAATAAAATCACTACAAGATCAACTTGACAGATTCAATTAACAAGAATTCAACAATACAAAGCTAATAATCTTGAATACCATGAACAAATCCAGCTACTGAGACAACATCAGTTAGTTAAGATGGAGGTTGTGTGAAAAAGTGGAGTCCAGGTGTAGGCTTGATGAACCTAGTGCTTCCAGACGCTACTCAGGTTATATCCCAAAAACTTGTCAGAAAATTGTAAGACATAATAAAAACAGCCTGTTGATAAAAAATAAGTAGATGCTTACTAATTGCAGCCCAATCTTGATACAACCAATTTTTAACAAAACGTTTCCATGTGTTTTAAAAACATTACTAAGAACAACGATTGCAACAAGGCAGGGAGTACTGAAAAATAGTATGGATCCCATGATAACATTAGCAAATAAAGATGTAAAAGCTCAAAACAAAAAAAAGCTTCTAACACTGCTTGTATATGCTATCAATCAAGATTGCAATGAAAATCCGACTCTAAATCAAACACTCAAAAAACAATTGATAAATATTTAGATACCTGCACGTAAGGGAAAAGGGGAAGGGGGAGGAGGTGCGCCGGGCATGGTGGATTCTGTCCATTTCACCAGCTTGCAAAGCCAATCGTATCTCTCTTGTTCAGCCGGAGATAAAGTGACATCTTCAAAAAGAGGCAGAGCATCTTCCTGAATCTGAGTCAACAATTGTTTAATCCAACCATTTCGCTTGGAAGATGGTGATAAGGAAACCTCTAACGGAAACCATATGGAATCCAAATCAATAAAATCTTGATCAATGAGTGCAAAACCACCGCAACCCAATCCTCATCATAAGTATTCTGTATGATAAAGTATCGCCTACTCGGGCACCAAGCAACTATTAACACTGGATGTTTCACGGCTTCCATTTTTTCTGCTGCTCTATCCAAAGCTATCAACTCATATGGGTGGAGAAATGACAAATCGAATATAGATTTAGCTCTAGGAAGAGACCATTCCTTCAACGATTCATACATTTTGATACTCCCAACCCCAGGACCGTTCATAAGACCAACAATAATTCTTTCCAAACCATTAACAACTATATAATCTTCCAAATAACAAAACAGTGGGAATGGATTCTGATTCCTATTGGGTGGAGACCTGTGAGCGGGGACTAGTGACCTCCTTGGTGGGACTAAAGGTTCACTAGAATCAAAAGAAGGGACTAAAGATTTGAGAGAATCAGGAGTGGGTGGAATTCGAGGAGGGTAATCACTATCTCTTACGATACCATGGCATCCCATAGCTATCGACACGTGAAGGAGGTTAGTTTACATAGATCCAACAGTTTCATACAAATGACGGTGAGAAAAAAGAATGGGCTTGATAGCTACCTCTTCTCCTTCCTCCTCAGCAACTATAGCCGCCTCCTTTTCCTTTTCCTTTTTCTTCTTGATCTCTAAGAAGGCAGATACGGCATTAAGCATAGATGCAGCAACACACGAGTCTCCGGATTGGCGGGTAACCGGAAGAAGATTCATGCCACGAGATCCCCCACTATCCAAACATTCCTTAAAGAATTGACTGATTTCATTCATTTCGCTGGCTGTTGTTGTGACATCCCAAAATTGCACCAGCACCTTAGCCAGTAAGCTATTCTACACCTTGATGGGCAGAAAAATGAACAAAGAAAGTTGATAAGCAAAAGGTTTCAGTTCAAAAAGGAAGGAAACTACAACATTAGTCTTTAAGTTATGGATTCTAAAATTTCAGCACTAAGGTGGTAATAGTGTCATGTTCAGTGCAAGTTTCCAATCAAACAAAAGATCTAAATTGCATACCACAAAAACCATTTTAATTTAGGAGAAACAAGGAGAGTTGCTGTAGAAAGATTCAGGAAAAATAGTTCAAAGATTACGGCAAAACTGATCTTTGAAACAACACTTCGAATCAGAAATTTTCTAAGATCTTCGGATTCAACCGGTCATATTTAAGCTTGATTTCTGGACATATTATAACTCTTTTTTATGAGCCACTAAAACTGAAATAAACCTTATCAAATATAGGTATTAAAGGAAAGAAACCTCAGCAAACAACTCAAGGGAATAAGAGTATCAATCCCCTAAACAGAGATGCATGGCCTGGTTTTCAGCAGATTTTCAGTCTAGACCATGCCATGTTCAAATCTAGTTTTCGGAGAATCTACAACTGCAATTTCAAATCCATAAAAACAGCCAAAAACTACACTGAACGCAGATGATTTGATGTAAAGAAAACCACGAAAAACATTAGCGAGCTAAGAGAAAAATGTCTCAATAGAGGGCAGCAAATCTGATTTCTGCACTTGCAACTGCAAACAGTACCAGATTTTAAGCAAAACTACTTGGGAACAGTTTAGCCGTTTAGCAGACCATAAGATCCTAAAGACGACTTAATATTCCAAGAAGATTTTGGAAAGAAAAATATGCACAAGAAGAACCTATAACCTGATAATCAGGACCTCGAAATAGGCACTCAAATCTGAAAATTTATTATTCCTCTCTATGTTTTACTTCGCAGCTAATTTCATACCTTCAAAACATACATGAATCATACATAAATTCTCCATACATACTTAAGCAACCAATAAGGTTGGGATCATTTACTTAGAACCCTCAAGAACAGAGAATGACCATATGATCTATTTTATTACAACCAGTTAATCAATACAAATAATAACAGAAAAAAGGAAACTTCTTTTCCTTTTCTTTGGGATCTCATCCTCGATAGATGGATAGTACAAAAGCACTCCGCAAATATCATTGAAAGTCCATTTAAATATCAAAAGAATTCTGCTCACTTTTAGTACCATATTATTTGGGGAAAATTCTGAATCTTTTTACTCTAAGGAAAGCAGGAGAAGTCGCAAGTATTCTGAATTCCAAGTTCCTATCAACCATAAGATTTAAATTCATTTATCAAATCCATTTTCCAGTTTAGTACCCAACTCGTACATAATTTGATGAGTTCTGAACTTGATACTACGTAAAGTTGCAACCACTTAGGTTATTTCAACGTATATATAGGCTTAGATGTTCTTCAGTCTAAAATAATGAGAACCTGAAGGGATCATTCACTGATAGTAATATCACGAGTAGCACCCGCATAACCAACCGACATATATGAGACTGCATGCAGTCATCGCTGCCAACTTGGTACACGTTTAGGTTCCACATGGACATCACAATATCAAGTTACTTGATCCACTTAAGATTAAAATCATGCTGAGAGCCGTGGGGCCAAAATCTTTTGAAAATACTTTCGGACAATAACCAATCCCCAAAAACTCTTTTAGAATGTTCGCTTTCAAAATACTTCTAGAAACATAATGATTTAGAGGCAGAAATGCACACTCAGCAGTAATCATATGCAATGCATTGAGCAAATAGAATCTGGTTATACTTTCTCTTTCATGCAATCAATTATTCTCCCTTTTTAGCAATTAAGCACAGCTGATTCATCCTATGTATAGTTAATTATTTGTTCTCTTACAGTCAAAAAATTACCAGCCCTATGCAGGCTTTGCAATTGAACACAGATTGCTTTTCAAGCAAACTGATTCCTCAAAACTCGTATATATTTATAACTTATTTAATTCAGCTCATTACAAAATTTCACCTTAGAGTCTAATGATTGTGTCTTAAGTTCTAATATATATTTTCCCTGTTCTGCTATATCATACTCAATATTATAAACTAACAGTTATCTAAAGATCACACTTTTACATAATACGAGATATCATTATTATGATACTAAAGTAGCCTTCATTAAACTCACCCTCAATAGTTCGCTTGGAGATAAAAGGGGGAAGCCCTTCATCGAATGATTTGTTCAACTCATACAGGAGATTTTTAACGATGCATCCTAATCAAAAGTGAGCATTATTTCAATATTTTCACATAACATGATTATTCATTTAACCCCATTAGGCTTACTCAAATACCTATATGTTTTCTTATTACTTAAACAATTATCCTCTCTACCTTAGTTTAACAAGTTAGAACAATGATGTTTCCTTTCAATCTTTGTAAGACGAAATCAGAAAAGCTACGTTTATATCATAATTTATTCATAGCATATCATGTCAATGTCCTAATGAAATATTTTATTTTTAGTTATATACCTTTGGACCTACATGTAGTTCTCTTAGCTACTAAAGTTCTAATTACCCGATAACAAAATGTTCACAATTCAAATCTTTACTTCACTTCGGAGAATTACAAATTACAAAGTTCCCTTTTCTTTGTTTGACTTTTTACTCATCTTATATAGGTCTGTAAGTTACTCTAACTTTCAAGGATGTTGACTACAAAATGTCGGTTCCATTCTAATGTTCTCAGAAAGTATATGTTTTCTGAAATAAATTCTTTTTAAGTAGTATTATTATTATGGCTCATAAAATTTCCAATTATCTAATCCCAGTACAAGTGTTATCTAAACCTAGGCTAATATTTGATCATAGAACTCCCTATGTTCTCGTCTTGGAGCTCATACTAATGTCTATAAACTATATGGGCTAATCTGGTTTAGCTACTTATAAACTGAAAGTGCACAGGCCCTAATCATATTACTTTCTTGATTTAATATGCTCAATCATACTGTAACTAAGTTTTAAGAGTGATTTCCAACTACCCAGAATTATCTATTCTTCTCAAATACAATGACTAAGTAAAGACTAATTAGAAGCAGTTGAAGGAGTTAACAGTTCAGTATCAGACAAATAGAAGAGATGAACACCTGCACTACAATGCAGATTCTAAAAGTATGTATACTAGTAGAAGAATAATTGCAAATTCAGGTTGCCGATAGAGCTCAAAGGTATGTATACTATCCTAAGGCTGACTTAGCCAGTAAGCTATTCTACACCTTGATCGGCAGAAAAATGAACAAGGAAAGTTGATAAGCAAAAGGTTTCAGTTCAAAAAGGAAGGAAACAACAAGATTAGTCTTTAAGTTATGAATTCTAAAATTTCAGCACTAAGGTGGTAATAGTGTCATGTTCAGTGCAAGTTTCCAATCAACAAAAGACAAAACCATTTTAATTTAGGAGAAACAAGGAAGAGTTTCTGTAGAAATATTCAGGAAAAATAGTTCAAAGATTAGGGCAAAACTGATCTTTGAAACAACACTTCAAATCTGAAATTTTCTAAGATCTTCGGATTCAACCAGTCATATTTAAGCTTGATTTCTGGAAATATTATAACTCCTTTTTATGAGCCGCTAAAACTGAAATAAACCTCATGAAATATAGGAGGCATTCAAGGAAAGAAACCTCAGCAAACAACTCAAGGGAATAGGAGTATCAATCCCCTAAACAGAGACGCATGACCTGGTTTTCAGCAGATTTTCAGTCTAGAAGTGCCATGTTCAAATCTAGTTTTCTGAGTATCTACAACTCCGATTTCAAATCCGTAAAAACAGCCAAAAATTACACTGCACGAAGATGATTTTGGTGAAAAGAAAACCTCAAAAAACTTTATTGAGCTAAGAGAAAAATACATCTCAACAGAGGGCAGCAAATCTGATTTCTGCACTTGCAACTACAAACAGATTTTAAGCAAAACTACTTGGGAACAGTTTAGCCGTTTTGGTAGACCATAAGATCCAAAAGAGGACTTGATATTCCAAGAAGATTTTGGTAAGAAAAATATGCACAAGTAAAACCTATAAACCTGTGATAATCAGGACCCTCAAAATAGGCAGTCAAATCTAAAAAATTATAATTCGTCTCAATGTTTTCCTTCGCAGCTAATTTCATACCTTCAAAACATACATGAATCATTCATAAATTCTCCAATACATACTTTAGCAACCAAGAACAACATGCAACCGAGCTTTAGCTTAGAGCACACAGATTCTTAAATTCCTCAAACTGATTCCAATCCTTTTAAGCATGGAATATAAACCAGTTAAACAGAAATTTTTTTACCTATATTAACTATCTATTGATGATTCTAATGTATCATGGTTGTTGTTGCTTTACCCACTTGACCAATTCATCGACAGCTTGAGCTTCCTTTCCTCTTCCTGTTCTTCTCTCTGTCACGGCCCTCCTCCCTCTCAATTCTCTTTCTCCATTTCCAGCACAGTGCCCGGGGTCAGCAGACCCCCCGGTGACCGGAACCCCCCATAGGATTTCTTATAATCTGATTTCAAAGCGGCTCCCCTTTCCTCCTCAGCCCCCGATTTTCTGAACAAAAGTTACTTCAAAAGGGGCGGGAAAAGGGCTGAATCTAAAGGAAAGAGGGATTTAAAAAGATGGGTAGCAGAATTTGTTATCGTCGGAAGTTGAGGAGAAAAGCGTTTGTGGAATTTATCAATTTAACAACTATTAATATTGCTCAGTGGTGTATAAAGTTTTAGAGTTTTTCAAACAGACCCATTCTCATTATAAAATTTAAAATCCATTTAAAGTTTCTAAGGAATTATTGATCAGCCACCATAATTCATTTACACTATAATTTAGCGATCTTTCATCCAAGATTCTAAGGAGGCGTTTGTTTTATTAGATGGAAACGATTTTGGAAATGGATTAAGAAACGGATTTGAATGTTGGCGGATTCATTCTATTTGTGAATCCAATAGTGTTGTTTGGTTTAGCATATGGATTGATGAGTATAATTTTATATAATTTGGTTAATTTGATTTTAATTTGATGATTAAAAAGAGACCTTATTGCTCCTCTTCCTGTGTCTCCACCTAACACTTTGCCACCAAGAATTACCGCCACTTTCTATGGCCAAACATCAAATTTGGTTAATTTTCAAATGAAATCTATGGCCCAACATCAATTATCTTTATTACATCACAAAATATATATATAAAAAAAAACCCCTTACAATCTCTAAGATCGAGCAGCCAGCCAAACCAATAATCTCCGCCGCCAGTCACAACCATTGCCGCTCAAGAAAAACCTCATATCTAATTCCTCTAGCCTCCGGCTATTGGTGGCTCAAGCCAATCTCTTGAACCCAAGGCAGTTTCCACCGCCGCATTCTACCTTTCCTTTTCCTTCTTTCGGCGAAAAAGACACCTCCTCATCAATCCCATTTGGTTCACAACCAAATTCAGATTCTGAAAATCTCCTTTCTCCCCGCCCTACTCTCTGTTGAACCCATCAATTCATAATTATCAAACAAAATAAATACATCATCAATTCAAAGTTCAATCATCAATTAATGAATTTACAAAAAAAAATTACTCCCTCTGTCCCAAAATTATTGTCCAATTTGAGATTTCACTTTTAGTACAATTTGAACTAAAAATAAAAACTCAAATTGGACAATAATTATGGGACGGAACGAGTATAAATTAGAGAGAGAGAGGAGATACGGAAAAAAGAAAACAAAAATAAGAGATAAGAGAGAAGAGAGGAAATTATTAATAAATTAATGATAAAACGAATAAGTGCGGGATTTAATATTAAATCCTAGGGGGAAGTCATCACTCATTCTTTTGGATTCAACCAATTCCTTGAATCCAAATCTAGCTAACCAAACAATTGAACGGATTCTGAATCCGAATCCTGATTCTGATTCCTGTTAATCAAACGGCTCTTAAGTCTTTATTAAAGTCTTTCTTTATTACAAATTTGAGATTTCACAAATTAAACCTCAAAATACAATTCAAAATGTTTTAAAATACACAATTTAGTTATTTTAAGGAAAAAAAAATATTTTGGAGATGTGCGAAAAGAAAAAAGTATATATTTTAAAGTCCAGTCCCCGACATTGCAAGTCTGGTTCCGCCACTGTCCATTTCTATTTATTCCCTCGATCCCTTCGTTTTTATGCTAAAAGCTTAGAGTTCTAACAGTATATGGTCGATGATCTGAGAGTGCTAACCGGCTTGGTGGAGGAAAGAGAAGAAGGGAATAGAATTTTTTTTGAAGAATGTTCCCGATGGTTTCAGAATTAGAATGGAGAAGAAAAAGAATAATTTAACTCATACAAGTTAATTGTAATTTGGTTTCTTAACTAAGTTAATTAAGTTAATTTAATCCTTTTATTTTATTTTTATTTTGAAATAATGATATTATAGAGTCTAAATAAAATACTAAATTCATGATTAATATTTAGCGGGAGGTCCTTATAACTCAGTTCCCACAGTTGTTTCTTGATTGAAATTTTCAGAATTTTTTAGAATTAGGGGATTTTTTATGGACTTAAGTTGGTTCCCGAGAAAAAAAAAAGCGGAAATGTCTATCATTCGTGGTGAGAAGAAATGGAATGATTTCAATTTCATAATCGTTAAGAGAAACGAATTATTTTAGGGTTCCGGTGAAGAAATGGGAACGAGGAACAGTACTCAATCCGTGACACCGAGGGTTTAGAGCGATTGAAGAAATATTTCCCAAATGGCTGGTGTTTCTTTGTTGAGCTTTGTCGGCTTTGCCATCCGGCCTATATAGTCGAATTCTAACATGACAATCTTTAAATGTAGTCGACCGTCTGATCCATACACTTGATAAATAGACCAAGACCCGAAAACCTAAAGGATAGCTTGTACCAACCGATTCATTCAGAATATATATATATATATATATATATATATATATATATATAAATCATTTTTAAGAAAAAAAAAATTTACAGGACCAAAGTTCAAGGCATTTTTTTTAACCGTAAAAAATATTCAAGGTTTTTTTTGAGTTTTAGGTTCACACAAACATTTAATTATACACATTTCCTCAGCGAGAAAAATACATAAATAAGGGTCTGATTAGTTGTATTATTTTGCATGACATCTCATTATACACATTTCCTAAGCAAAAAAAAAAAAAGAGTATTCTTAGTTGTATTATTTTGCATGGAAAGGCCAGATGGGGAGGGGCGGAGCCGGAAGAAGTAAGAGCTTATAGTAAATTTATTTCTGATGATATATCTTACAGTCTACCTTTTGATTTCATGTTGTTGGAGCTTTGAAAAGAAGAGAAAATAGTTAATCCTTTCTGTTCTTATTGCAAAGTTTTTTCATTTGTCTTAAGTTCTATTTAGTATGTTCTTTCAATCAAAAATAAAAATCTTAAAATATTTTATAATAATTAGAAGAACACAATAAATGTAAAAAATATGTTTTAAAGATTTTAGTTTTAAATATAAGAATATACTAAATAAAATTTTGGACAGATCAAGATATTATTATATAATTAGTGCTATTCATATGGCGCGATTAGTATATTTCTTAATCATTGTACCCCATTCTTGCTTAAAGAGATAAGTACCGTAAATTTTAATTATAATGTCTATCTTGTTGCAGATTAGTTGACAAGAAATCGTAAAAAAAAATTTTGTTTTTATAACATTTTATGTTAAAGATTGGAATTACAATTGCACACCTTTATCTTTATAAGGAAAAATTCTTTTAAAGAAGCTCCACAAATTTAAATTCCTCTGAGGAGTATAATTAATTTGAGTGATTCATGTAAAAGGCATTAATATTCAAGTTATTAATTAAGTTGAGTGAGTGAGTGGTTTATGTAAAAGTCATTAATATTATCAACCAATCTTTTCTTCCAAATTATTAGGCCTATTTGTCCGTTTTGGATTTTCTAAAGTTTAGTTCTCTTTTAATTGATGAATTAAGTTTGTAATCGTTAAAAATCCTGTAATGTAAAATAGAATTTGTCCACGAGATAAAGTCACTAACACTGGATTAAAGTAAAGTCTGTTTTATTTATTTTTCTTACGAAAAGAATAAAATAAATAAATATGTATGCTCATTTGGGATGTATGCAATGTTAAAATACAAATCTGAAGCTCACTCGCCTAGACTTGCAAACTTAAGCTGTTAAAAATAATCCAATTAAGATCCTTGCAAATCCATGCAAATTAAGATCCTTACCACTCGATATCACACAAATGATAATTCTGAAATATGTTTTCAAAAAAAAAAATTCCAAATAACCTGTCGGCTAGCCATTGGTTTTGGTTGATAAAATAGTTCGCTGATTAGTCTTCTGAGTCAGAATCAACCAAAACAAAATTAATTAAACCTCAAAAAGTGTGAGGGTTCCACACTCAAAAACATCACAAATCGAATGTTGTCGTATACGGCATTTTGGGACTTGGCTAGAGTTCTACCAATTTTATAAGGCTTCGTTCGTTTTGTTTTTTTAGATGGTTTTTTTTATAATAATAAAATAATACTCGTCCCATAATTATTGTCTATTTAGATTTTTATTTTTAGTTCAAATTGTATTAAAAGTGAAATCTCAAACTGGACAATAATTTTAAGACAGAGGGTATAATTGTCTCATCTTAACATACATTTTTACATTTTCAATACATTTTTTTACATTCTCAATAGAAAAAACATCTAAAAACACACACTAAAAAAACGAAAACAAACATACTTAAGTTTTGATGGATGGATTATTCCTTGTTTAGCTGAGGTTAACGCCTCAAAAAAGTTGGGGACAATCCGTATCAACTACAACTAATCCAATTATTGTTTTCATATTTAAGTTTTGATTAATTGGTCTCCACGCACATCTATCTCCCAAGTAATTAATCTATAAATGAAATGTCGTTACTTTTTCAGGTAACATCGGAAATTCCATCAGAGAGAGTCATAATAATGTTATGGTCTTTAGGTAAAGAGCTTCCTCCTAATCTTGTTGGACTTCTTTGCTTCTACGATGTCGTTTATCTAATCTTCTTCTGTGTGTGTGTTTTATTCATCTTGAAAATAAACTCTATCCTGAGTTCTGACTAGATTTAAGAAGAGTAAATCCATTTCATGTGTCAAGTTTTTAGTCATATCAAACATATGGTCATCATTAAATTCTGTCAAATCAAATGTCAGCTTCTTTGACGACATTTTTCAACTCTCAAAGCTGATGGCTAATGTCGCTAGAATGTTACTACAAGGTTAATTATATAGCAAGAATCAAACAAATAAGAAGGATTTCGTTATATTGAAAGAGTTGTCGCATGCAAATTGATTTCATTGTTTTTTTTTTTACTTTCAATTTTTTTTTAGAACAAACATAACTCAGTTTCAAAACAAGAAAAGAGTATCGCCTTTACTTTTTTTTTTTTTTAAAAAAAAAAGAATGAAAATTGCACTGAAACTTTTAAGTATTAATTAAAAAAATTGAGAAACTAGCCAAAGTACAAATCAACCCTTCATGTATGCATTTTGATTTGGCTATTCATTTTTTGGTTCCCCCCTTATGTGTTTCTTCGCGGGAGCCATCATTGCTTATACAAACATACTTCCTCTATCCCAAAATTATTTTCCAATTTGAAATTTCACTTTTAATACAATTTGAACTAAAAATAAAAATTCAAACTAGACAATAATTATGGGACGGAGAGAGTATGTCAAAAAGTTTTATAATGCAGACTTGTCTTTCAGTCAAATTAATCAAATGAAAAGTCCAAAAACTACTTAAAAGGTTAAAAAGGAAATCTCAAAACTCAAAAAAAGCGGTCGCCAGAGTTTATTTTCATTTTTTGACCCACAGTCAATCTATTCTTAATTCCTTTTCCCTAACTTTCCAGTCGGACTAAAACTTTATCCATATTTCACGGAGAATTACGGAGGAAACGAAATGTGATGTGAAGATGGGTTAACAATTCAATTTTTACGTAGCTAACCCATGATTGTTCTTGATTCACACTTTATGCATATTACTCCCTCCACCTCTTTCTTTTTTTGGTTCAAACATATATACGATATGAGTGTTCCGAAGAGACAGATATACCATGCTGAGACTAAATTAAATGGTATCTCGCTCAGTCTTTTTGGAGTTAAAAGATATCGTGGCATTGTTTGTTTCTGACTTGGCTTCCTAACATTGTCGATTATCCTAAAATTGTATTAGAAATATTGAAATTAGATAATACAGTGACAATTCACAGTAAAATGTAATAGTGACTTATTAAAAAACAAATATACCACCCCTGTATACTTATTTATTAATGGTAAACATATAATTTAGGGAAAAAAATTAAATTTCAGTAGGAAAGCGGAAAAAAAAACAGGCCAAAATACTCAATATCTTTCACTATTTTTTTTACTATTTTTTCATTCTACATATCATTTTTTCTTAGATAAAATGCAAGAAATGCGAATATAAATATAAAGTGAGGCCTAAGATGTAATTGCGTGGAAGATATATATACGGCTTGAAAGTAGACCAATAATGTTACATAGGTAGAGTGTTACAGAAAGCAACCATTATTTGTACCCAAAAAAGAAAAGGAAAGAAAAAAAAAAGAAAAAAAGAAAGAAAACAATACTCTTCATCCGGTATATGTTCATATATAAGGTATATACTACTAATAAACTGAATTTTTAATTTATGTTATATAAACCGAATCGGAAAAATGAATACGTTAGAAATGTCGAAAATAACATGACAAAAAGAAAAGTAAGAAATGCTTGGAAGAAACATCAAATGAAAAGGTGAAAACGGAATGACTCTACCTTAACTAAGAAGTTTCCATGAGTTTGGTTGGGTAAAATGCTAAAAAAAAGATCCATCAAATGGATTCCGTGATAAAGGCCCCTTTATCCTGGAGATTATTGCCCAAGGAAATATTCCAAAAACAACGTCATTTTCTTTGTTTTTCTATGTTTAATTACACTTAGTTTATTAATTGATTATTTCTCCTTCTTGTCCGTTGAAAAGTGTATTAAATTAACTTTTAATAAAGCCGCTTTTGTTCGCATTTACCTGAAAATCTTTTTGAAGATGATGGTCACGTTTACGCTTCCTAAAATTGTCTACAAGCTAGAAAATGATGCCTCCAAATTTCAACGATCCAATCCAATGAAAATACTTCATTTCACGAATGGAATAACAAATCACTTGTCTTAATTCTTTTCGGTTCATGAAAAAGTTGGTTTCTTTTTATTCCTTCTATTCTTTTTTCCTGAAAAATAAAAAGGCGCAATCAAAATGAATTTATTGAATATAGTAAATTAAAATATAGTAATTTGAATTGTTGATAAACTGTAAGTTTATTTTACTTTCCACCGATCGATCTGCCACTACTTAAGAAATACTCAGTGTTTTCCTACAAATTATCAGTGTTTCCTGATTTACTAGCTCGGAAATAGGGATTTATAATTTTTTGATTATGGATAAGAAGGTTGAAAGAACATACATAAATATGAAATTGATCAGCTAATTAATTATCTTCTGATTGACGAACTCGTGTCGTTTGATTTGAATAAAATTTCCAAGCGTAAATTTATAAGAAACGTTCAAAAGAATATGTACCTAAACTAGATGAGTAGGAAGACTTTACGTTTACCGTAACTCTGTAAGTAAAATAATACTCCCTCCGTCTCAAAATTATTGTCCAGTTTGAGATTTCATTTTTAGTATAATTGAACTAAAAATGAAAATCTAAACTGGACAATAAATATGGGACGGCTATGTTTGGATCTTTTCTCACTATGTGTTTTTAAGTGTTTTTTGTATTGGGAATGTAAAAAAGTGAAATGAAAATGTGAAAAGATATGCTTGGATGTGAAAAGGTTTGTAATTCCAACTTTTTTCTCTTCTAATTTGATTCTGTATATATAGTTCAACATCACAAATGTAGAAGCTTACAACTAATTCTCCATCTCGCACCACAAAAAAAAAAGAAAAAAGAAAAAAGGTTTTAGAATACGTTTAAGTTTCCGGCGATGTCTTATTTGTTGTAATTTGGAGTAAAATTAATATGTGTATCTCTGTGGCTCAATTTTATTGTATCGTAACATGCAAAATAGAAAAAGTTGTCACATATTATTTAAAATGAAACTCATGTTATAACTTGGATGGAGTAGCTTTTTTAAACTCTCAACTAGTCCAATATATATATATATATATATATATATATATATATGAATAACCACAACCATTTTTTGGAGGGAGAAAGTGTATTTACGTATAGTTTCCCTTCTTCTAAAGTATTTTTATTAATCTGATTTCATTAAAGAAAAATTATGCGTAAACTTATTTAAATAGATAGTGGGACCTCCAACAATCCAATATAACGTCAATGGTACAAAATAATCTATATATATATATATATATATATATATATATACACTAGTGTCAATTATTGTTTAAAGATATTATCTAACGCCGTCGTCTGACGTGGCTTGAAAATATATACTACTAACCATAACGGCTCATTTTCTTCGATTTTTGGCAAATGCAAAAACTTCCAAAGAAATTTCTGAAGAGACAGCACATTTCCAGATACTAACGGCTAACCAATTTTGAGTAATAATGTAAATTAAATCTCCAGCCCAGCCCTCAAGTTGGGACTTTGTACCACCAACATAATAATACTGTTTGTTGTGGGACTGGATTTCAACATGCATTTTGCAGCATCATTAATTTTTGAAGATATTTATTTATTTATTTTATATTGGCAGTAAGGTTCTTTTGTTTAAAAAGAAAAAGATTTCTATGATTATTTTTCTTTTAGTAGAAGTCTTTTTATGTACAATTGTAATAAGTAGGAACGTTAATTTACGGAAATTGTGTATAAAACTACAAATGTATTAGTCGATATAATGACATACGCATTTATAAAATATACAGAGATAGTAATTTATAAATTTATATTTCGATTATTACATAATGATAAAGCACATAGTAGATGTGTCAATGTGAAAATTTCACTCGAAACAATGATATAGTATTTCATGAACCTGATTAAATCAAAGTAGTATCAAACATTAATGTTAGTCGTAGATATACTACTACTACTTAATACTCTAAATTTCATAAATTGCTCAAATTTAGGTGGGAAAAGAAACCATAAATTTTTAAAGCTGCAATCAGAAAATCTCTAGATCAGATGAGCTGTGCCTCTGGCTTGTAGCCCATTAGGATATAAGACCACTACTCCTTTTTTTAACCGTTCCCTGTGTCATTTTTTAACAGTGGCGGCTCTCATTGCACGGACTAGAAAATTGCACACGCGCCTTGACATCATATTTACTCCTTCTAGTCCTTATGATAAAGCATTTTGACTTTTCTTAGATTTCACTTAATACACAATTTTAATTAATAAAAAATTTTAAAATATTTTATAACAATTAATAGAACATTGGGAATGTGAAAATATATTTTTAAGGTTTTTTGTTACTAAAAATTGCGTATTAGGTGAAACTTAAGACAAATCAGAATGCCTTATATTAAGGACCGGAGGGAGTGTATGTTTTCAGAAATGCTAGTACGCAAGAATTGAAAAAAGTCGAATTTGTTTATCACTATAAATTAAATAATATATTCTTGAGACACTATTTTGGTTATCACAACAATTATAATTATCATAAAATTATTAATAAGGAATTTATGCTCACATGTATAATAAAAGGTATTAATGTTCGATAAATTTTTTTTTTAATTCTATGTCATGTTCTTTGTCCATTTTGTATTAAAAGTAAATATTTAAATTGGACAATTATTTGAGAACGGAAAAAATTCATAATAGACAAAAAATAATTTTTATTTTTTTATTTATTTAAAATGCTATTACAAAAAAAAAAAAAACTAAAAGAGATGTATTATTGTAGACATAAAAGCATTCTTTAAAGACCATACTAAATTTAATTACAAATAGATTAGCTAGTTTCAATATTTTTACTCATGGTTCAAACTCAGTTTGTGAAATGCACTCGTTACTTTGGAAAAAATAGGATACTATTCCTATATTTATACTTCTTCTTTTTAGATAGTTTCAAGCAAGTTAGTGAGAACTCATTTTCTTATATTAAAAAAATTATTAAATCAAAATCATAACTTGGATGAATAATACTAATGTTGTTTTTTTAGGGAATGTCTGGATTTTTTTTAGTTTAATCATTTTAGCAAACATCAACCACAAATCAAACTCAACATTAATAGTTTATTTGTCCCTTAAAATAAAAATAAAAATTTCATTACCAACATTTGATAAATCAAGTGTAAATGATTTTTCTCAAAAAAAAAAATAAAAAATTCAAGTGTAATGGATCCTAGATTTCACGCGCCAAGATTGAGGGTGGGTTTTCACTTCACCTCCCCAGAGTGACTCAAAGCAGATATGCATGTATGACTTCCACTCAAGACTTCCCACAGTCATCTTTTTGCTGGGTTTCGGTCATTTTAATATTAGGCAGAGGAAATAAAAGAGAGGAATTTCTCATCACTGTCCCTTCTGAAACTTTCTACATTTTGCTTTTTGGTCATTCCCTTTCAACATTTTCCAGCTCTTCTTCTACCTAAAGTAAAGGCAAGATCTTTTTTCTCTCTCTGGATTTGCACTGTTAATCTTTGGAACAGTTTGGTATTTTACTTGAGTAATGTGCCAATCATTATCATGATGTTTGCAAGTTCATTATAATGTTCTTGGGATGCTCTGTTCTTGCTCAATTAAGCAGAAAGTTCTGTGCTTTATCTGAAACTCATCACACTGCTTATGAGACCCTTTTAATGTCATTATTTGTGCATCACTTTGGTTAACATTCAGTAAGTTCAAAAGGGGAGTCTTTACTTTATTCATATATTCATATATGCCTATAATTGCTTAACTGTGAAGTTTATTGCTTGTTCAAATATTATGGCTTTGGCCTTTTGATGTGCATTTGGGTTATAAATTCAGATAAATTAACCTTTTGACGAGTTCTTCAGGATTTTGTTCATTGGAATTATTAAGTTATGGGCCCTTTAGTTTATTACTGCAATGGATAACATGTATCGGCTTTTAATTATGTTATCCTTTCCTCCTTATATCATTTTCTTTTCCAGGTTTTGAAATCTTTCAGACTTTGTTATGCAAGCCCGTCTCAAATTAAAGAGTAGATTGAAGAAGAAGTTGGTATATCTGGATCAATGAGTAAGAAGAGATCTGCCTCTGTTTCCCGGGGAATACAGATCTTCCTGTGGTTGTTTTTTATATGCATAGTCAGAAATTCAGATGGCTACACCAACCCTGCTGATGGTAAAGTTTCAAGAATCGTTACTATTTTTACTGTTTTTCGGAATAAGTTATATTGTTGTTTTGTTACTCTGCTAGCTCAGCGATGAAAGAGAGTTATGGTCAATTATGTCTGTTTCTTTTTGCGAGGAAATCTGAACAATAGGAAGGCTCCATGTAATAGTTTTGATTATGACTTGTCGTTTCAGAAGAAATAATTAACTCTATATCTGTTCCAGTTCACCTATTTGTCATCAGTTGAGGAAAGTTTATCGTTATAAATTATCATGAGTTGAGGTTGAACCTAAAGTTATTTGTTTCCTACTTTCCTACTTTCCTTTTCTCCAATTTTTCCAACCCCATAAGGACTCTTGGGGGGCAGTACAATGATTTCGAACCCCAAAAGAAAGGGGATTTCTTCAGAAATCACTAAGTTTCCGTTCTTTGGTTTTTGCAGTTTCATTTTAATTAGCCTTCTGTTTCTTGTCAAATTAATCTTGTTTTTTTTTTTTTTTCTCTCTAACTTGAATATTTTTCTTCATCATGGGTTGAGAACGTATTGCAGTATCAGTTCACATTCTGTTATGAGTTGTGAGTGATTTAACATACTCATGGCGCTTATGCCTCTGTAATTTTGTCTAGTTGCGGCAATAAATAGTTTATACGTGGCAATGGGATCACCGACTCTACCTAAATGGGTTGCCAGTGGCGGGGACCCATGTGGTGAAGCCTGGCAAGGGGTCTCCTGTGACAACATGAATAACATTGCTTCAGTGTATGGACCCTTAACCTTTCCCTTTGCTAGATAGTCAAAATTATTTTGCCACTTCATACAGCAACTTTGTTCTTGTAGAACGGTAAATGCTGCTAATTTGGATGGTGAACTGGGTGATAATTTGGGAGCATTTACTGCTCTTAAATCAATGTAAGTCATATCTGTTGATATTTTTAGTAGACCTTGTTGTATCTTTGTTAAAAGGATTTATCCAACAATGTATCATACCTCTTTGCTCAGAGATCTTAGTAACAATAACATTGGAGGGAGCATTCCATCCAATCTACCAGTTACAATGACAACTCTGTAAGTAATCATTTGTCCTTTCAGAGGGGAAATTTTGTCTTTCAACTGGATGTATGTAAATTTATACCGAGCATGAATTGTCAGGTTTTTTTTGATGCCTGAATAAGCACAACATATGATAGTCTTTACCTCTGGCAGTTTTCTTTCAGATAATAAGCTTACAGGAAGCATTCCCGATTCTATTTCCAGCCTAACTGGATTGGTAGCGATGTAAGTTTCTAAAGTGACTTTGTACGCAGATTTGCTTTCTCCATATGGGACTTATTTCTAAAGGCTTTTGCACGTTTTACAGATCTTTGAATGCCAACAATTTGTCTGGTGATATACCTGATGCATTTGAAGGACTAACTGCTCTTGTCAACCTGTAAGACTCTATAGTATAAGTTTTACCTTGGTGGGTTGGTGCAATACCGTTGTTAATTTCTGGAAAACTTATTTGTGTTTTCCTTTTCCACAGTGATTTATCTAATAACAATTTGAGTGGGCCACTTCCATCCTCCACGCAAAATTTGTCAGGCCTGCGGACTCTGTGAGTGTTCTCATTTCAGTTTTTGACATTTGGATGGGGTGTAACGGCAGAATGACTTGATTATTCTTCTTGATGCAGCCGTTTGCAAAACAATCAGCTCTCAGGAACTCTTGATGTGCTGCAGGATCTTTCTTTGAATGACTTGTAAACTCATTAGCAAATATCTAAAATGTAATTTTCTGCGTCATTGTTGCTTATCTTGTCTAATCCCCTTGCATATCCTGCTTCCGTGTCACAGGAATATAGAGAATAATCAATTTTCTGGACCAATACCTCAGAAGTTGTTGAGCATTCCAAACTTCAAGTAAGTTCAAAATTGTCAAATCTGTACACTCGGCTTTTTATAAGAGTTAGTGCCATCTTTTTCGAAAAGTATGTCGACTCTTCATTCAATTCATTTGAGGGCTTTCATATGGTAGATGACAATTGAAATGCGAGAGCATCCGCCATCTCTTTTCTTGTTTCTTTCCTCTTTTCTTGTTTCAGTTTTGCTGTTTTGTTTCATTGTTGTCCCAAGGATTACTGTGTGTTGCTAGGTCTTTATCTTTTTGTCCTATGCATATTGTCATCTTAGGCTTTTCATAACTGGAAGGGCTAGAGGATTAACTTGTCATTGTGGCTATCACTTATATGATTTGGAAGTGACACTCAAGAACAGCAATATCTTAGGCTCTTTATGGAAACATCTGCCCCAAGGGAGAGCTCCTTAGGAAAGATAAGAAATTGTGGAGAGTCTTTTCTTATGCACGGCAGGAAAAATTTGTTGGAAAAAAAATTAACTTTTGAAATAGTGCGAGAGGAATTCTGATGTTGTTTGGATGCTAAATTATTTGAAGGAAGTGTATGTTTCTCCTCTGAAAAATATCTCAAATAAGACTGTAGGTTTACCGGTTCTTTACATCCATGTAATCTCAAATCTGATATTGTCCATGTAGTTTGGCTTTGCTAATGTTGTTTCATTGTGCAGAAAGGATGGGAATCCATTCAATAACAGCACTGCTGTGTCACCTCCACCTACATCCTCCTCAAAACCGCCTCCTGCTCCACCTTTTTTTGGTGCACCAACATCTCAGCAGACACCACCAAGTTCTGGACGAACTCCTCGAAATCATGCGGATGGGCCATCTACAACAGCAGAATCTACCTCTAAAACAAGCAAAAAAAGTTCATCTACTAAAAGGGTGGTTTGGATATCTATTTTAGCAATTTTCTCCTTTATCGTATTGGTGTTGGCACTACTCCTGTTGATGCCAAGGTGCTTTAAACAAAGAAGAGACATGCATAGGATATCAAAGAGACATGAAATAGCTCCTTATGTTGGGACCAGGGAAAATCCTGGAAATGATGGTGCCCCTGGCCATCTGGATCGTCATGACAAAAAAGGTTTAATAAGTTTACCACGATATACTATTGTTTGAGTTCTTTTTTTTTCGTAGGAAGCTTTGCCTGAAATGCATGTAATGGCAGACAATGTAGAGTTAAAGTTAAGACGAGAAGTGCTGAATGCCTGAATGCTAAGTCTAAGCTAAGAAAGGTGCTTTAAACAAAATGTTTCACATTAAGCAGATGATAAAAATTAGTATGTATCTATAAAAAAAAAATCAAAATTATTGAAAACGCATACGCTCTAGTTAATAACCTTAATATCTGGGATTCATCATATAGGTATGAAATGGGACTTGATAAGATGTTGCACACAGAATTCAAACAGTCTGGAATAAATGGAGAAGTGCATTAGAAAGAAAGTGGGAGAGCATCAATAGATGAGAAACTGAGTGAATCATGCTTACAATGGCTTGTCATGTGCATAGAAGCTCCTAGATGCCCCAGTAAGACTAGTAGAGACCGTAAAGAGGGTAAGGTGAGACTTAAAAGTGGGAAGGAAATTATTAAGGACATAATTTCTTTGAATTTAAATGATAATATGTGTTCCAAAAGAGGACGATCCATGTAATCAACTCCATATAATTGGGTAAGGGCATAGATGTTCATGTTGTTGGATCCTGGTTTTACTTTTTATTATCATTATGAAATTTTAATTTCTTTGTTCTCCTTACGTTGTTATATATTGCAGAACCTGTGTTGCCAGTTGCAAAGCCTAAAGAAGAACTTCAAACGGGGGCTAGAGAAGGTGGTATTACTCCAAAGCCACGCCAAGAGCCGGAGACAAATTTGAAAAAATGGAGTGCAATCCCAAAGAGGGATGAACATGAGATAGACATGAGCCGGTTTGACATTGACTTAATGCCTCCTCCGCCTCCCCCACCTCCCCCACCTCCGGCAACACCACCTCCTCCACCGCCTCCCCCTTCACTGCCAGAAAAGGTGATTGTGAAACCACTCACCACATCTGAAAAACCAGTCGAGATGCCTTCAACTAAACATCTTCCTGGGACTTCTGTAAAGTCATTCACAATTGCTTCGCTCCAGCAATATACCAATAGCTTTGCTCAAGAAAATCTAATCGGCTCTGGGATGCTGGGAAGTGTTTATAGAGCTGAGCTTCCTAATGGAAAGGTACATCTGAGATTGTTTATTGCATTGCAATGCACTTTGCTATGTATTTCATGGTGACCTTTGTTCTCCTTGTTTCTTCTTGAGAAATTTTTCTACTGTGAGGCGATTTATTGCATTGCAATGTACTTTGCTATGTATTTCATGCTGACCTTTGTTCTCCTTGTTTCTTCTTGAGAAATTTTTCTACTGTGAGGCGACATGTTCTCTGAAAGTAAAAATGCGTACATGGTCAAAATGTAATCTAAGTCAGTTGCTTCAAAGCTTTAAACAAATATTCACGTACTGTTCTTGTCATCTATCTTTTAATTTTCTTTTTTAAGTTTTACCGAAACCATTTAGAGAAATGGGAAAAACATGAGCGACTAGTTCTGACAACAGCTCTTTCCAATGGCTCTACAGTTACTTGCTGTCAAGAAACTGGACAAAAGAGTTTCTAATCAACAGAAGGATTATGAGTTTCTTGACCTGGTTAACAATCTTGACAAAATTCGTCATGCTAATGTGGTTGAAATAATGGGTTATTGTGCGGAGCATGGCCAGAGGCTTTTGGTTTACGAGTACTGCAGCAATGGATCTCTGCATGATGCTTTGCACTCTGATGATGAGTTTAAAAGGAAACTCTCATGGAATGCCCGCATGAGGATGGCTCTTGGAGCTGCGAGAGCACTGGAGTAAGCCTTTTTTTTTTTTCATTTTGAAGTTCATCTATCATTTTTTCATTTAGTTGATAATTTTTACTTCGGATGGTAACTTTAATTAGTAAGTGTCACTTGTATATACTAATGAGCCAACGTCAGGAGTGAGAATAGTGTGTCTAATATGATGTTTACAAGTGTTTTAACTTTGCGACTATGGAAAGGAATGTTTATCTCTGTTAGTCAACATGCATTTAAACTTTGCACTTCAGCTTAACATCTCAGCCAAGAATCCATAAAATAAGGTAAAATAAATGGGGTTCCTGGCGATACCCAAAAAAAGAAAAACGACTAAAGAAAAAAGAAGTGATTTAAAAATGTTATAGAAAATGTAACCCCTGTGAATTTGTGGAAATAGTTGTTTACAATAGACTTGGACGCTACCCCCAATAAATAGGACATGTATTAGTATCAATTTTGTTGATCATATCCAACAAAGAATTGAGTATAAGTTTCTCGTTTTTCATCTTTAAGTGATTCCTCTACGCTGTTTAAAAAGCTAATAGTTTTGTACACAATTAGGTATCTGCATGAGATCTGTGAGCCGCCCATCATCCATCGAAACTTCAAGTCTGCTAATGTTCTTCTTGATGATGAGCTTGCAGTGCACATCTCCGATTGTGGTTTGTCCTCTTTGATTACATCAGGTGCCGTGAGTCAGGTAATTTTCAGTATTATTTTGAAGTTCTTGTTTCAGCTTTTGTATATAAAAATACTGAAGAGGAGGCAAAAAGTATGCTTGTAGTTAGTGAAATTAAATTAGTAAAATCAGATGCCCCATTTAGCTGAAAGTTCAACTTGTGAATTAGAAAGAGATTGTTTATATGTAGTCGTTACGTTGGGAGGTCATAATATAGAGAGCTATTTACCATGGGAATGTTATCTTTCACTTTGAGAAGCAGGTAGTCCAAAATAACAGCTTTTAGAATCCAGCAGCATGTCCTATAAGTTCAGTTTTGTCCTTTTGCATGAGATGACGAGATGGTTTATTCACACATGTGATCAAGTGGCTTTGTATTCATTAGGCTTAGCTTTGCCTCATTTAGTTGGTGAACACATAATTTTGCAATGGAGTAGATTAGCATGAAAAAAAATTCGAGGCATAAACTACTTGAAAGATCACATTGGAAGTGACTTGGCACTTGGGAAAGCCACTTGGGATTTACCGAATGTCATAACTGAAAATTTGGAGCTTTATATTTGCAGAAAGTTTCCCTTACTGACAAACGAACAAGTGTTTCTGGGTTAAATTTATAACCTTACACCCGGTCCTATGACATGGTCAACTATTCCCTTTCTTTGTATGGTGCTAAGAGCCAATATGTGCAGTATTTGCAATGTATCCCTTATTCAGTGCAGCAACCCAATGGTAATAATGAAATTTCTTTTCTTCTGCCCCGCTGCCTGTACTCACATAGGTAAGCACTCCCACTTCAATACGCTCTGCGGCAGCGACTGGCACCAATATTGGTCATCATTCTAACATTTACGCTTTGATTAAATTGCCAAAAGTAACTTATTCCCTTGTAATAATGAGAATGAATTTTGTAGGAAAACAAGAAAAATTGATCCTCACACCATCAGGACTGTACTTAATGGTTGTGTTAGGTATATCAGTGATCTTGTGTAAAAGATTATAGATACTGTCATAACAGTTGCTCAATTGCTGCCTATTTGAGTTTCGGATTTGATTATAAAGTGAATTAAACTTTGTGAAATGACAAACTTTTGGCATGTCTAAAAGCCTCTTCCGTCTAAATTTCAGCTGTCTGGGCAATTGCTTACAACGTATGGCTACGGTGCACCCGAATTCGAGTCAGGAATTTATACTTCAAAGAGTGATGTCTACAGCTTTGGGGTGGTGATGCTGGAACTTTTAACTGGCCGTATGTCATATGACAGGTAATATCACTGCTTAGATGCTCTGGGGTGAGATAATGCATAATTTTATCATAACTAATTTCCTGTCAACATCTCAAGGTCTAGGAGTCGAGGAGAACAATTTCTTGTACGATGGGCAATCCCACAGCTCCATGATATTGATGCCTTGTCAAGGATGGTTGATCCTGCTATGAATGGCAGATATCCTGTTAAATCCCTATCCCACTTTGCTGACATTATATCACGCTGCGTACAGGTGACACTTTACTTTCTACTATTTTTTACTTTCTACTACTTTTAGTGAGAATGCCTTTCATGGAAATCGTTAATTTTCCTCTGCTCCCAACTGTAGATACTAGAAATAGTTTTACTGTGACATTCTCTTACAACTTCTGCTTAGTGAGATTTATGGTTGTTTACCCCAATGAGTTCTTCATGCAGCCGGAGCCAGAATTTAGGCCTCCTATGTCTGAGGTTGTTCAGGACCTCATTCAAATGATCCGGAGGGAAACTCCTGACAGGTCAGATGGAGATTGAAAGAAGTTAGACAAGCCACGTGAGTCGGCTTGTATACAAGCTGCAAACTCGGACGATCTGAGTGTTTTGGAGAATTAACTAGTGACCAGGAAATTCCACGACCCCCTTGCTAACACAACTTACCATTCTTTCTCCAAAGCGACCCCCAAAATTTGGGTCGCCGTCTAGCAGTTGAACTATTGGGTGATCCAGTAAACCTGATTCTTATACATCATCACTTTCGGGTGTAGTTTAGTGTCAGCTACAGTAGTGTTGTGATTCCAGGTACCCTACTGGTATGAGTGTAATCATCTGAAAATATAGTTGATAATGAAATACAATTAGGCGTATGTTTATGTTATAGCTGAAGCCTGAACTGCACCTTTCATTATTTGTAGGGAATTGAATGTGCAGAGCCAAACAGCCTCAAATGTTGTACTATAATCTGAGGCTGCATTGTAATACCATCATTTATTTGTACAAATCTAAGTCTTGATGATCACACAAGAATTTGATTCACACCAGAATTTGATTCATCAAGAAGGATAGCTCGTAATTATGTGTAGTATTGGTTGTGGAACCGAAGTAATTTGACCCAGTTGGAAGCCCACTATTTCATTTTTTTACTACTATATTAAGTTCCGCCTCTTCAAAGGGCATATCATGACTTCTATGTTAACATCGCACCTTCTTCCATAGTTCATATTGTAAATTATACATTGTATAAAAATAAATTATAATTTTTGCTAGCGTTAGCATCTGTCAAGTGGTATTCATGATGTGAATAATTTTACATCTCATATGTCTTTACCCTTTTTTTTTACAAAATAAAATTGAAACATTTGATTGATTTTTAATGACTCTTACCCTTTTGGGCATGAGAGTTTTTAAAAACAATTATAATTGTATGAATATGGTATGTTTGATCGATACTTGGTTAAACAGGTAGTTAAAACTACTGAACAATCAATTGCTTTAAATTCTGATGAAAGGGTTTTACAACTTTTATCTGCTACAGAGATTGAATCATATAGATCTCATAAAAATTATAAGTTTATGCATATTGGATTGGTGCAAATTGCATTTAAACCTTTAACTTTAGAAGGTTTACCTGAATCTTTTGTTGCTGCCTTACGTGATGGTAGAAATTTACATTGGAAAAAATTCCTAATGGGCATAATACATCCACCTAGCTCATGGTCCAGTTTATTTTAATGTCTATCCAAATTTACAGACTATCATTGTCGATGTTAATATACTCGATGCTTTAACCTTAAATGTAAAATTACATGGTTATAATTATTTACCGGAAGTGAACTTATTTGTTTACACTACCGTATTTGTTTTAAATTATTAAATACCTTAACACCCGGATGTAAGATTATAAGTAAACCATCCGATGAAACTATACTAATAGAAACTAATTTTTATAAATCTCAAATTAGTACTCGTAAAACTATTAAATGGGAAGAAATTGAATTTCCGAATCTTGGCAAATTAATAAAGGAATTAAAAGAAACTCATTAACTCATAATGTTACAAGTTGTAATGTTACGAAATTGAAAAATCGATAATGGTCGATAAGTATTACTTTGATAAACCAAAATTCCTAAATTACTAAGATCCACTCTCAAAGATCTTTTAAATCTTATATTGATCCAATCGATTCTCATAGATTTTCGACATCTTCGATTCCTGAAATAGATCGACAAATAGAATAAATCAAGTAAAAATTGATCCATATAATATTGTTCGGTCATTGATAGTAAGACGTTTGATAAGGATATGCCTTCACCTTCTGAAATGGGTTATCATGGCGAATACTGAAAAATTAGATTTTAGTCCAGGATCTAATATTAGACAAATAATAAGACAAGAATTTCAATCTGAAAAGTGGAAACTTTTCAGAGAATGTTCTTTTCTACTTATAATATTGAAAATCAAAAACTTATACAAAAAGAATTTTATGAATATGCTTCTTTTCACAATCAAATAATATATTTTGTTCCGTGGTTTATAATCACTTATCTTGATAAATATATTTTCCTCCTTGAAAGAGAATATCATCTTGCAGATGGAAAAATTACAAAAGGAATTTACCCTCCCCAAAAAGAATTTGTTTTAACAAATGCAACTCATATAACTTTTTCTGCCTTTCAAAAATTGGTTGAAAGTGAAGTTTTACCTTCTACTGTTTCTTTAGTAAATAAATTTATTCAACAAAATAATTATACAAATTTATATGTAAAAATTTTAGGCGAACAAATTAATTCTTTACATGATAAAGTTGACAAATTATTTTCTCTTATAAACAATCTTCAACAAACAGTTAAACCAGTTTTGATTGAAAACAAAAATAAAGATATTAAAATACAAAATTTTATACAGCCTCCTCCTATAGTAAAAGATTATAATCTTGAATCTCCACATATATTAGAAAAATTATTAGAAGAAAAATTTAAAAACCTTAAATTATCCACTTTAGAATTTTCTGAGAATATACAGAAAGATTTTGATAAAACTCTACGAGATGAAATAAATCGTCTTTCTAATAAATCTAGACATAATAAATTTGCTAATAAACCATATATGAATCATTATTATTACCCTCGACCTTCTCCACAAGATCTTCTTTATGAAGAACATCAAGAAACTACTAATAGTTATAGTAGTCGTTCTGTTTATGAATGGAATTGTGACGCATTTACTGATAGGCAATTAACTAATATGGTGCATAGGATGTTAATGTACTCCTCAGTTGCAAAAGCAAATGGTAATACGAGATCGTGCAATCGCAAAATGATTGTTTGTGGTTTTACCGGTGTCCTTAAAGGATGGTGGGATAATTATTTAACTGAAAATGATAGACAAAAATTTATAATACAGTAAAATTGAGAATGAAGGAACATCTACACCCATTATGATAGAAGATGCAGTATATACTTTGATAGCATCTATATTAGAACATTTTTCCGGAAAATTTACTAATAATCAAGAAAATATTCGAACATTGTTGAATAATTTTAAGTGTAAAACACTTACTTCTTTTAGATGGTATAAAGATTCATTCTTATCAAGAGTCATGGAATTACCAGAAAGTAATAGCTCTTATTGGAAAGCTAAATTTATAGATGGCTTACCAACTCGTTTCTTTGAACGAATAAGAAAAGTTCTTAGGAAAGATTTTCCTTACATTCCTTATGATGATTATACTTATGGTCATCTAATAGGTGTTTGCACACAAGAAGGATTAGCTTTATGTAATGAAATAAAGTTAAAACAACAAATTAAAAGACAACAATTATCAGAACGAAGACAATTAGGTCGGTTCGTGATCAATTTGCTATGGATATTGGGTCGAAAATAGGGATAAAAGAATGAAGAAAATAAAATTCCTTATATACCTAAAGGAAAACGACGACGTAAAAGAACAAAAGAACAAAGAGAATTTAGAAAAATTAATAGAAAAATAAAAGAGACATAAAATGTTTCAAATGTGGTCAAAAGGGTCATATTGCCCCTAATTGTAAAAAGATTAATAGAATTAGATTATTAGAAATAGATGAACAACTTAAAGAACAAAGATGCAAAGTAATAGAAGAATCGATACGAGTCCAAATGTAAGAAACTGATAGCTCAGAAAATAATATGCTTGAAAATGATGAATATTCATCTAGTTCTTCGGATGAATGTCTTCCATGTCAAAATAATAATAATAATGATTGTTGTAAGGATAATAGTCTTTACAATATTATATCTCAATTTCAAGATTTACAATTTAACATGTTAACAACTGATAATGTTTTAGAATTACTAAAACAAATACCAGATCATGATATTCGTGATAAAATAATTAAAATGATAGATGTGTCTAATAAAAAAGAAAAGGATGTTAATAAAAAGGATATTCCTACTAAGGCAAGACCATGTCAAATGAATTCTGTATATATGAATTTATGTAAAGAAGAATTACATTCTTTACTTCAAAAGGGTTTAATAAAACCTTCACAATCTCCCTGGTCATGTACTGCATTTTATGTTAATAATGCAGCTGAAAAAGAACGTGGCGTCCCAAGATTAGTAATAAACTATAAGCCACTTAATAAAGTTTTAAAATGGATAAGATATCCTATACCTAATAAAAAGGATTTGTTATCAAAATTATATAATGCCAACATATTTTCTAAATTTGATTTAAAATCTGGATATTGGCAAATTCAAATAAATCCTGAGCATACTTATAGAACTGCTTTTAATGTACCTATAGGACAATTTGAATGGAATGTGATGCCATTCGGATTAAAAAATGCTCCTTCTGAATTTCAGAAAATCATGAATGATATATTTATTCATTATATGGATTTTATAATTGTTTACATTGATGATATCTTAGTATTCTCTGATAATATTGAACAACATTTTAAACATCTTAATATATTAAAGGATGTTATTTTACGAAATGGCATAGTAATATCTAAACCAAAGATGCTTTTGTTTCAACATAATATAAGATTTCTTGGTCATCAAATAAGTCAAGGGAAAATAACCCCTATTCAACGATCAATTGAATTTTCTTCTAAATTTCCTGATGTTTTTACTGAGAAAATTCAACTCCAGAGATTTCTAGGAAGTTTGAATTATATTTCACCATACTATAAGAATTTACAAAAAGATTTAGCAATTCTATATGATTTGCTTAAAAAATCAATTAAATTTGATTGGACAGAAAAGCATACTCAATTGGTTAGGCAAATAAAAGAAAAGGTAAAAACTATACCATGTTTAACATTAGCAAATCCAAATTGGAAAAAGATAATAGAAACTGATGCTAGTAGCATAGGATTCGGTGGAATCTTGAAACAGATTAACCCTCATGATAATAATGAATATCTTATTAGATATCATTCTGGTAAATGGACAGAACCTCAAAAGAAATATGCAACTGTTGCACAAGAATTTCTTGCTATTGTAAAATGTGTATTAAAATTTCAAGATGATTTATTTAATCAATCGTTTGTCATTCACACTGATGCACTTGCTGTTAAACACATGATTTATAAAGATTATAAGCATGATTCCTCAAAGCAAATATATGCTCGATGGCAGGCTAATTTAACCCCTTTTGATTTTGAAATTTTATATAAAAAAGGTAGTGATAATTCTTTACCTGATTTTTTATCACGTGAATATTTGCAGGATGGAGTGGCCACAAGTTAATTATCTTAAACCACTATCAGTAATACATATTGCTTATAATAAGATTGTTGCTGAATATAAGCATTGTAGAACAGAATATATTTTTGCGAAGCATAGACTGAATCACTTTTTACGAGTTCGTAATACAATTCTTGATTGTGCTGATGAATTTACTTCACCACAACAGATAACATCTGTTTCAGAAGACCTTGAATTTGTCTATGACATGATAGAAGACTTCACTGAAAGATTAACTGAAAGTGAAGAAAAGTTGAATTATTGTAAAGCAAAATTATCATTAATAATTCTCTAATTTTACAGATTATGTATCCGCCCGATAGAGGACGCGCCCTAATAGAGGTCGTGGAGGAAGAACAATAAACCCCGTAATACAACATGGGAATAAAAAGCTAATAGTCTGCTGTTTTTTCAAAATCTCGGAGGAATCCTCCTCATCGAATGCGAAATTGGTCCAAATAATGGATTTTATTCGAATGATTCGCATTATATAAGCAGATTATGGATCATATCCAAGAGCAACAAAGTGATACCTTTGCCGCCAAAGTAAGTGACACCGACCTGGATGATATCCGGTCATATGAAAAGGATCCACAAAGGAGGTAATATTCCTTCTTGAAAACGCCGATATTCGGTGGAAAAATGATCCATGGGTAATATTCAAGATATCTAGCAGAAAGGATAATGATACCGGGTGAGTCATACAAACCCGTAAATTATTATGAGAATATTCTCAAACAAACATGTGAAATAACACATTTTCGGTCTAATCGACTACAATCGAAGTTTATAACTTCTCAAAATTATTATCAAAAAGATTTTATCTTTCGAGGAATGGGAATTTCAACCCTTTCGAAAGAGAAGTACGTAATACTCCTACTTCTCCTCCTTTGAAATTTACTTATGGGATTATATTCAAAGTTTTTATAAAACTTTTATTATGAAAACCCTAAAAAAGCATACTTGGTTCATTAAAATATGCTCCCATGTATATTCTTCTCCCATACCCAATTGGTTTATTCAGTGGTGGGCATTATATGGCCCAACAGCAAAAATTTTGCCAGATAATTTTTCAAAATTATATTATCAATGGTTAAAATCCTCCCCTATCATTGATAAACTTCAACACAGTCATATCTGTGCTCCAGGAAAAATCACTCTGTTATACTTCTTTATTGAATTCTCGATTCCTTGGATTTATAAATGGGTCCCTGAGGTGGGATTCAATGAATTTCAAATTCCGTGTCTTTATAAGACATATTATACCAAATTTTGGGATAAATTAACAAAGATGAATCACAATACCAAAAGAATAGAAGGACAAGATTTACTGGACGAAATTGCCCAGAAAATCAAGGAATATACTCAAGACAAAGGACAGCTCAAAGCAAACCCAGATGAAGAAAGTCCGTTCAAACACATCACAAAACGGATTCAGCTTCAGCAAGGAGCAATTAATAAGGAAGAGATAATATCCGCCTATATGAATTAATGACTCTTACCCTTTTGGGCATGAGAGTTTTTAAAAACAATTATAATTGGCCTTTTTTTCCCAACAAAACTATTGGGAAAAAAAAGAAAACAAATCGACCAGTTTATTTAAGCCCATGTTACTACGCCTAGGATGAGGTTAACAAACGAGCTCATTTATTTATTATTACTACAAAAGATATAAATACCCAGCAATTGCGCGGTTAATCCTCCTAGTTCGAACTCGGTTCAGCTCCGCCCAATCTGTTTTGGGTTTTGAATATGGACAAAATTGACACAACCCCCGGAGGTAAAACCTCATACTGCTACCACGGCGGCGGCAGGCAGGATGATGATGATTACCTACCCGAGTGGTTTTTGTTAGAATTGTTAGTCAAACTTCCGGCGAATGACGTGTTCAGATTCAAGTCCGTCTCGAAACAATGGTTTAACTTCATCTCCGATCCACCTCTCAGAGCTCTGTATTTCTCCAGACAGCCGAAACCAATTCGTTGCCCATTACTCTTTGTGAGTACAGCCTATAAATGCTTCGATACGCTTACAGATCCAAACCAATCCGATTCTTCTGCGTATGGGAGAGATCGTGACAATCTTACCCTACCAACTCCACTAATCAGAAGAGGAGGAAACAGAGAAATCAGGCCATTCTACAACAGAGCCGCCGACAAGGGCTTTATCTTGGCCGAGGTGGCGGCGGTGGCGCATCTGTACGGAGAATTGGTCGTTTACAACGCCGTCACCGGCCAGAGCTGCGAACGCCTCCCTAATCCTCGCCGCAAGGAAAACAATTGCTCTCTGGGTTTCATAACCCAAGTGGATGACGGATCCGGGTTTTTGACTGATTACAAAATCGTATCGGTTGCTTCTCAGATGCAATTTCGCAATTTCCTTGACATGAGTATATTTTCTTCGGAAACAAGGAGATGGGAAGATTTCAGGGTGCAATCTGAAGCTCCCGTCAATTTTTGCTCCTACTATTACAACAGACCCGTTCTTGTGAACACCACTCTGTATTGGGTCCATCGGAGCCCCGGAATCATTCTAACCTACGATCCGTACGCCAACCCGAATCAGCTCCGGATCATTCAACTCCCAACTCATCTTGAGGATGATAGTGATTACGATGTAATTGGAGGAGATAATGATGAAATTATAACTAGACTGTCGTATTTCTCTTGTGGTGTTCATCAAGGACGTCTCAGGTGTTTGGAAAATTGTACACGGAAATGATGGTTTTTGGGAAACTTTGAAAATATGGGATCTCCAGGAAAACCATCACTGGCGACTTGGGCATACAATCCAGGTTGGCGAAATTCTAGATTTGGCTCCTTCTAACATTGGCTCTTCAGACAATGCCCTTTTCGTATCGTTCCATCCATCAGATCCAGACGTTGTATATTTGGATTTGGAGAGTAAAGGAACGTTGATTTCGTGCAACGTTCAGACCAAGAGAGTGGATGGAGTTATTCCATATTGGCCATCGGACGAGCATTACTCGAGTAGCAAATGGTTTCTGCTGGAGCTTTCGCCTTGGCCCGTCTCCATTCCGCCTTCTCTGCTGGCTATATATAGCCATGACTAAACTCTTCGTACTGAGGTGTTTGATCATATATTTTGCTGATTTATTTGGAACCTAATCTTTTTCAAAAATAAAAAACGACAAAATGGGTTAGTGGCTCTAAGCCTCTTCTAACCAATATCTCGGTTCCAATTATAATATACAAAACTAACACTACTAAATTTAGTTCAAATTTGTGTTTTAGCAGAGAAAGCGCAATTTTCTTGTACATTACATCAATGCCTATAAGTTCTCATATAAGTACATTACATCAATTGGTTTTGCCTATATGGCTTATGGCAGGTTTCTCATTGGTACTATAAGTTTACACATTTCCTCATTTCGGTTGTATTCAAGTAGCCATTTTCAGATTCGCTCTTATTTACTTATAGTCGTGGATCTTGTGTTATTCCTATTTTGCGACATCATATTGTGGCTGGGTTTGGAATAACTCCCTTTGGATTAGCAAACTTTAGCAGTATCTCTCCGTGACCAAATTTCACTTCAAGGATTATGGTCCTTTTCAGAATTTTTTGGGCACTGTAGTATCAATATATATCCTATCAAAAGAGAAGTTCAAGAGAAGAAAAATGATAAGGTGTCGTATTGTGCTTGAAAATTTTCTTCTAAAACACCTTAAATCAAAACTACGTCGTATTGCTTAATAAAAAATAACCTTTAACTATGTACATAAAAGCGGGTTTTTGTTATAAATGTATATAAAAATCAGCTCATTCTATTGTTAGATAGAGAAATTTTAATTATATGTTGTTCTCTAATTCAATACTTTATTTTTTTAAAAAATAAAAACCGACATCGCATATGGTAAAAAAGTTTATTGAAATTTCACGGGTAAAATACAAAAAAAAATCCAAAAAAAATATATTTCTTACATTTAAATTGAATCCAATATTTTTTTTAAAAAAAGAAGGTAAAACTTCACGGCTAAAATTACGAGAAAATCCAAATAATACATTCTTCTCATATTCAAACTCAATGACTATATATCCATCTTATTAAAAAAATATTCAAATCTAACAGGTAAAATTACGAGAAAAGTTCAAGTAAAACATTCTTTTTATATTTAAGCTAAGAGAAATTATATTATAATATTATTAATAACCACTTAATTTTCACACCGTTCTCTTTTTACCTCATTTTTTGATGTCCACTTATTTTTCGTATCATCCGTTTTTTCTTTAGATTCTATTTCATAATCAACTATTAATTGAGTACGTGCTATTTTTTACAATTAATAATCATTTTAATAATATATTTTAATATATTCCGTGCAACGTACAAGAAATAACCTAGTTTGATTGATTGTTAATGATTATTAGACATTAGTACCATTTGGGCAGGAGAGTTTGAAATTAATTCTAATTTCTTTTTGTAATAGTTTTGTTTTAAAAAACGAGATTATTTTGTACCTGAATAAAAGGAAACTGAGTTTACTTGTGAGTCCTACCTTTTTTTCCCACCTTTGTCCTACCCTACAAAACTAATTAGAGCAACTCTAATCAAGAAACTAAAATACTAAATTTATTATTTTGGTGTAGGATTCGCACTCCAACGACGACACTAAATCAGTGCACAAATTTTTCGCAATGAATAGTGTCGAACAAAATTTAGCGTAAACTGTGTACCATCTTTGTGCACTATTTTTTAACTTTGCTCTAAATACATGATTTCCTATTTGATTAAACTTATAAAATAAATAAATGTGTTATGAAATCTATATCATATTAAATATTTTGTTGAGATTTTCAAAATAAGGCCCATATTGACTGTGATATTTATTTATTTATTTTTAAAATAATTATAGCCATTATTAAAATTACATATGAAAAATTAGTACTACTATAACTAAATTAAAACAATTATGAAGTAACCTATATAATAAAATTAATTCCAAACTATAAGATTTTTAACAATCAAAATAAAATTTAAACTATAACATTTAGAAATTTGGTGAATCAAAGATTTAGTCTAAAAAGATCTTGAAATATTCTAATACTAAATTTGGTGTAAATATAGTGGAATATTGGTTTGAATTGCTCTTAGTTTTATAAATTCAATCCACCATAGACGGCTTACAAGAAGTGGGATGAAGGCTCAAGAATTTTGGGAAAGAAAGAGAAGATAGTTTCCATGATGATGAATAATCGAAATTTTGGGGAAGAAAGGGAAGACAGAGTTTGCAGCTTATTTTGATTAGAACCGGCTTATTGTAACTTGTGAGCCGTTTACTACTGTGATGGGTTGAGTTATTGAAACTAGCTAGTTTTGCAAGGTGGGACAAGAAAAGTGGGACAACAGATCCCAACTTCATAGTAGTAGCCAATAAAATGGGATGAGCTCAGAAAGCAGAAACCGAACAACTCAGAAACTAACGTGTCCTCGTTAATTAATCAATCAAAAGACAAACCAACTTATTTACATTATTACTTATATATATACTAGTTCTATTAGTCGTCGTGCGTTGCGCGATATATTTTATTAATAAAATTATATTTAAGAGATATATGAAGTACCATGGTAAAATAAAAAGATTAAATTTAAACATGGTCCAAGAAATTCAACAAAAAGGGGCAAATCGATGGTAGCTCAAAAAAAAAGTAAGTTTGCAAATATGACAAAAACAATATAATGGCAAAATAGAGGAACCCTGAAATACACTTTTACAACCAATCACCATTGTTCGGTTGCCACATTTTAAAACAATCATTTTTACCACTAGTTAGTAACTAATAACTGAAACCATATGTATAGCCAAAACTAATTATCTAAAATGAATGTATTTTAGAGGTTTAAAACAAATTTTTAGGCTGCTATCAAGACAGCCAGAACATTTTTCTGACAAATAGTTATAGTACTCATACTATTATATCCAAGTCAATTACCACAACTCAACTTTATTATGTTTGATAATTTCAATATATCTAGTTTGAAAAAGGTCATTTTGAAAGGTAAATCATTTGAAAGGTAAATCAAGATCATGGTCCCTCAAAGTAAACATATCCACGCCATAAGTTCTCAGCAAATGAAAGAAAACAAAGTAACCAAGATAAACAATCACAAAATATATATTTATCACAATAGCGGTCTTACGATTATATGACCATAACATTAAAAAGGGCAAATAAGAATCCCTCATTATATTGCCTTAAAAAGTAGAAAATAGATAAGGAGATAAATTGTCGTAGCAAAAATTGTTTTTCATTTAACTCTCGGCGAACTACCAAAGCTCCAATGTCTTTTCCCCTTTGCCTCTATCAATGTAACATTTGCACCTAATTCAGCAAGTGCAAGAGAAGCAAATAATCCTGAAGGCCCGTTGCCAACAGTTGTAACTTTTGGTTTCCTAGAAATGGTATACTTAAGTAAGCCCCTATGTTTAATGCCATCATCTTTTTTTGTTTGTCTGCATCTCGCATTAAAAAAAGAAGAAGAAAACATTACCTGACATTCAAATGAAAGATGAACAGCCAAATTGCATTTATAAGCTATGCAAGAGTGTGGTTAATGAGTTCCATTTTATGTGGCATTCGAGCTACTTGGTGGGTGTCAAACTAAAAGAAATAAAAGAACCTACTGCTAACAGATTTAGTGTATAGCATCGAGTAGAGTCATCTCCTTAGGGAACCGAGTGAATTTATATCTAATTAAAAGCCAAGCAATAGAAAGCAAGTTGTTTTGAGGTTCAAATAAGTAAAAGACAATTAAATAAAACAACAAGAATTAAGATGACAATAAAAAGAGAAAGATTCTAGTCAAAGGAATTATTTCCACCTTGATTCAACCAATTGATCCTTGAGGCAAAGATAATTCATATAATTCACAAATAAATTAGTTATAGTTGTTGGCACGACCTAACAACCCATTCCTTCTTACTTTATCGGTAGTCAAGATACGATCGTTAACTATTTCTCTAATCAAAAGACAACCCTAAAGACGCTCGTAGTATTTAGTGTTCCAACAACATTAAGATCTAGAGAAACCCAATTTCAATTAACAAACACACAGTCGAGATCATTTAAATTAGATTGTTTATTTCCACAACACGCATTAGCTGCTTACTTAGGCAGTCTAAGTTGCTGATTGCTACTTTTAAGACTAACAAACAATTCCGGATTTGCCGTTTTAAATAGCTATAGATCAATTTGAAAGAATTAAATAGTGAGCATCTATTCAATCAAACAAAACCAATCATAAACCCTAAAATGAGAATATAAACAAATACTCATGAATATATGAAAAAGATATGACCAATTAGATCTCACAATTGTCATGAATCAAAGTTTCAATAATTCTTCAACTAGAAAAAGAGTTTCGCTACTATGCATACTCAACAAAATAGTTGCTTCATCCCTAAGCTCCATCAATGATTAGAACAAAATCACCTCACTAGTAGGTCACTCATTTTTTTCTTCTTTTCTCTCAAAGGGTAGCGTATAAAACAATTCACACAAATCAATATCTAGCTGAGTACTCAAAAATTTGAAAAGGCGTCATATCATCATACACCAAGCAAATAAACTTACCAATAAAGGTCTTTAATAGGGTTGTAATGGGACTTTAGGTAAAGAAAAGGGTGGATATATATGGATGTAGGCTTATAATTTTGTCAAGTTAGACTATGTATACTTAAACTCCACAATCTTATTAGATATCTTGTATAATGACATTGTCATCCTCATACCTCAAACTTCAAGCGTGATTTGCATAAGAACTTGTAGCGAAATTCGCATACTGCATTTACAACCAATAGCATCTCAAAGATATAATAAATAACATGCCATACTCTCGAACACGTAGTACATAGGGATTCATGCGACTTTTTTCCTTTTTCTTTTCCTTTCCGGGTATTTTTCCTGATTTTTTAATTTTCTTTTATATGTTTTTTCCCGCATGCCCTATATTACATCAAATGCATAACTTAAAACAAAAACACATGTCACCATAATTTCCAACTCTTACCACAAATCCAGTTTAAGCAACCTAATCCAGAGCTTGATAAAAAG